TGGTATTGGTTCGCTTAAACCAATCTGTAATAGCTTAAGCTAGTTTATCAGTCCAAAAGAGCATTCTCTCTGCATTATTTTTGTGCATATTTTGCTCAAGCTAAACCATATTCGCTTAAGCTATTGGTTCATCCGCTTAAGTCAAGTCATGCACGCTTAAGCGAATGTGTAATCTTGGGAGGTATGCTCTCTGTTTTTTTAGGCTTAAGCCATTAAGGTTTCACTTAAGCCCATCATTTACTCGCTTAAGCCTTATAAATATGTGCTTAAGCCCACAACTCATTAGCTTAAGATAAATCAAGCACGCTTAAGCCAGTTTGTTATTCTAGGAGGTAGGTTCTCTGATATTTTTCGCTTAAGCGCGTATATTTTAGCTCAAGCGCATCAGGCACTCGCTTTAGTTTAATGTCTCGCTCCATGCTTGTAGTAATGGCTTAAGCCTTCATTCGCTTAAGCTAGCTTATATGGGCTTAAGCAAAAATTGTCAAAGTCGCTTAAGCCTTGTCAAATTGGCTTAAGCGAACGAAGAACTGCATGTGCAGTTCCACGTCAACTGCACTGGATCCGTATCCAAATTTAAACCACTCAGCAGTGAGTCTCTTCATAGCCAGTGACACCTCTTTCTTCTTCTTCTTTTCTTTCTCTCTTTGTCTCCCTCTTCAAATCATGATGTCAGAGCCACTGTTATAACTTTTCTCTTATCGCAAAGTCACCACTGCAACTACCATGGCTCTAGTTTGCTACTTAGATCAAAATCTTGCAAATCAAACTTGCATCCCCTTCCTCCTCGCATCATACTATTCAACGATGATGACTTGTTCTTGAAATTTTTAACCTTGTTGTGTCCATTCTTATCATTGTCAAGTTTAATATCAATGATGTCTACAATGTCAAATTGCTCCTTGTTTCCATGTTCCTTTGAAAAATAATGTTGTTTTAGTGTCACATTAGCATTATACATGTCACTTAATATGACATATGGTAAAAGTTAATGTTTCTCGCCCGTGAGTTAACTTTTAAGACTTAATTACCCAACATATTGTGATATCAAGGATTAAAAGAATAGTTAAGTTCCAACGTCAATTAACATGTGAAAAATTTTAACTTCTGCTAATATTTCAAGTAAAGTAACATGTGAATTGTAACTTTGCATCGACCACATAGTCATTATTGCAATCACTATGATCAGTCCACTACTCATACAAGAATCTCTTTACCGATGTTGTAGAGTCACTACTTCGATCACCATGGTTAGTCCACTACTCAAATCTACATCCCTTTCCTTCTTTTAACGTTGTCTTTATTGTTGAAAACTCAAGTTTAAACTGCTATATCCCTTCCTTGCTAGTGACATCTCTCTCTCCCTCTCCAAATCACTTTTGTCGTAGAGTTGTTGTTGCTACCATCATGGCCATCGTCCATTACTCATATTGGAGTCTCTTCGCTTATGTCATAAAGTTGTTGCCGCAATCACTAAGACCAATCCACCACTAAGATTGAAAACTTTTTTGCCTACTTCAAATTCGCTGACCACCATGGACAATCTACTACTCATATTGAAATCTCTCAATCTTCGTCACAGAGTTGTTGTTGCAACCATTATGGTTAGTCCACTACTTAGACATGCATCCTCTTCCTTCTTGCATCATCATTTCATCATTGAGAACCCGAGCTTGAACCCCCTTAATCCCTTAATTGTCAATAACACCTCACCATGGCCCTCCTCACTACTCATATTAGAATCTTGCAAACTAAACTTGCATTCTCTTTCTCCTCAAATTGTCATCTTCAACAATGAAAACTTGTTCTTGAACCATTCTACCTTATCGCTTCCATTCTTCTTGTTGTAAGATTCAACGTCATATTTCTAATGTTCCAAGACTAAAAAATATGACACATTGGTCTATATTTATATCTTTCTCTAACATTGGTCTATATTTATATCTTTCAATGTAACATTGGCATCACACATGTCAATTAAAGATAGCTTTCTCATAGTTAATTAATGTGGGAACTTAATTATTCGATATTATGCATATAAATTCCTTTATTAAAAGTGTTACATGATATTTCTTTTATGTAGAGTGTGACATGTTATATTTTCTTATTTTTAGAAATTTATTACTGCATTTATTTTTTTTTATATTTATTTATATTTTGTATTCTAATTATATAAGGAAAACATATTTTTATAGTTAAATTTCAATTTTTTGAAATTTATAAAAATACAATAATTTTTAATGAATTAAAATGATTAAATAATAAAAAATAAAAATTCATTGAAATAATACCTGATGTATATTTTTCTTACTCTAACACAAATTTTTTTCTTATAAGTTTTAATAAAATTGTATCGAAATAAACCTTATTTAATTTAATTATAATTTATGAGTTAAATAATATTAGATATTTCAAGTGAACAAGAATTTTTTTTTTTATCTTGAAGTAGTAATTAGCGAATAGAAAAATATTGCAAATGAACATTTTATTTGATTAATTTTTTAAAATTTATGAATAGAAGCAAAAGCAACTGAAAAAAAAAAAACTGCTTACCCTTAAACTCTTTTATTTTTTTTATGTGACTGAAATTATAAAAAAAATATATTTAATTTTACAATTTTTAACTGGACACTCAGTACAGACTTAAAGCATATATTAATTATGAATCGATTCATTTGCGAGATTAGGGGAAAAACAGTTTATTTTATTCATATATTATTATATATATTTAGTAATTATCATAATACAAACAAAATATAAATACAAATAAATTTATAAATTAAATTTTAATACTTTAAATTTTTACCTTCAAATATTTGTTTCGTATACAAGTTTAGTGTTCTATATATTAAATATATTAATTCCTTCAAAATTAAAATAAAAAAATTATTTTAATGCATAGCTTATAGAATGACCATTTTATGGTCATTTGATAAATATATTTAATATCATGATTTTATGATACTTAAATTAATATTAAATAATATTTTTAAATAATAAATAAATATCTTAATATTTATACTTCCATATAATGTTTAATAATTTATCTATTAATATATAATAAAAATAAAAATTTATCTAATATAATTATTAACATATTATAAATGATTTATAATATACAAACAAAATATTATAATTTTATAAATACATACACTGTAATTCGTATGGATATAAAATCTAGTTTCATATTCAAGTTCAAACTAAATAAGGAATAAGGCGCAAAATTTAAAAAAAATAAAAAATCACAACACACAAATTAGGGGAAGAGATGACTGGTCAACCAGATTGGGTTTTTTATTTATCATTCCATCATTGACACAAATATATATATATATATATATATATATATATATATATATTATCTACCCTGCAAATTTATACTTATCAATCAATTCTTATCATAGCTAATTTTAAATATTAATTAGAAGTACGAGACTTTTATAATATTGCGCATAAATAACATATATAGATAAAATAAATTTCAGTATTTAAATGAAGACTAATTTTACATTAAAAAAAAGTGAGAAATCTTATGAGAAAATTACATATTAGTGAGAAATGATTTTATAAAAGATTACAAGAAATTTTCAAAATATATAAAAACAGATAATGCACATAATGACATAGTGAATAGTTTAAAAAATAAAAATATAAATATGAACAATAAGGTAACCTAGTTTAATTGGTTGAAGTCACGCAACATTCAACAATAAACAAAAGTGAGATAAGACAGAAAGACGAGAAAGAAATCAAAATGGGAAATTGGATATCTCACTTACGCACTTCAGCACTTGAACTTAAGAATATAATATTAACCAACAACTATGAAAGCGGAGAATGAATATAATATTCATCAATTGAAGAGTTCAATTGAAGTTCATTTTTAAATAATTTTTTATCATTAATTTGATGCTTTGACTATGTGCTATCTAACTTTTTTTAATAAGAAATCATTTTTATTAATAATTTTTAATTATATAAAATATAAATTTATTTTAAGGTGTATTAATTTTTATTTTTATTATAAAATTTGTATTGACAAGATAAAATTTAACTCGTTTAAAGTAAAAAACTGCACATATATCTAAATTGATTTGAATTTAAGTATTTATTAGATTTAATAAATAAAACTTTATTTTACACATCTCTTCGTTTTAGAGACGTTTTAAAGAAGTTAAGTTTAAATACAATTTAATAATTTATTACTGCAAACATTTTTAAAGTATAGTTTAAATTTATGATATATAATTATTTTTTTATTAATTATAATAAATTATTTATTTCTTATAAAAATCATAAAATAATTTTTATAGTTGATTTTTAAATATAATAATAATATATTTTTTAAAAATTAATAATTATATTATTAATATAATAAATATTTATTTTTGAATAAAATTTTATTAAGTTATAAAAGCAGAAGCTAATACAATTATATTTTAAACGGTGTAACAACATATTAACAAATACATGTAGACATTTTTTTTCCACTAACACTATATCGAAATAGTGTTTTTGTTTTTTTAAAAATACAAATGATAACTAGTGCTTTAAAAAATAAAAAATAAAAAATTGTTGTCTAAAAATATTATTAATATATTCCTCCTATGTTTTTAAGTACAATTCAATATAATTTGGAATAAAAAAATAATTTAAATTTTTAATGAATATCTAAAAGCAGTAAAGCACTTACTACCAAGGTTTAAATAGTGGAATAATGACATAAAGAAATGCGAATATTAATTAAAATTGATGAGAAGGAAAGGATCAACTGGGTAGCATGTATCTGTGCACTGATTGATCGGAGGAATACGATGAAGTCAAGTCAAAACATAAACCCTTTTGAGGACACAAACCAAAAGTTGTTGTTGGCAACTTGGCATCAATCATCATCGTAGTAATCCCTTCTAACAAAGCAAAGCATAGCATGTCCACTGCATAATAAACGAATATGCCACGATGTCACACGTGTATAACAAGACACCTACGTGTATGAGGTGGGACATAGTCACGTGTCCATTCACTAACTTCCCATGTCCAACACCGAGGAGCATACCCTTCTGCTTCTTCTTCTTCCTCCATATTCTTCCTTGTTATTCCTTTGTAATCCCATTTCCAATGGCTTTTGGACTCCGGACAAGGAGCTTTGGGTTTAGAGAAGGAGAGTCTGAGTTTGGGGCTGCACTTCAGTGGTGGAACCAGATTCATGACTCAGATCATTGGCAGAAAGATATTTACTATGCCCTTTGTGCCGCTTATGCCTTGGTTTCCTGTGTTGCCCTGGTTCGTGATTTTCCTTCATTCTCTTGGAAAATCATGCCTTTCTTGTCAACTTCTTTTAGAGCTTCTTCTGAAAGCTGAGCGTTCAGAAAAATGCTTTTTTTATATATGGCCTTGGGAGTGCAGGCATTGTTTTGCAATCACATTATCTTTTTTGGTTTTGGTTTGAACTTAACTATACAATAGGCACCCCATCACATCAAATCCCAATGAGATTTGATGATCTACAACTTAACTTGTAACCACTGACCAGTTTTTGATGATCTAACACTGATGTTTCTCCATAAGGATCGTTGTTTTGCCATTCCTATATATTTTGCAGCTTGAGATGTGAATTTTGTGAAGAACTTGGTAGAATGTGTTTTTATGGGTGTGTGTTTCCGAGCCATATTTTCTCTAAGGAATCAATAATCATAATTTGCTTATTCTCAGGTACAACTGGTGCGCATTCAAATGAGGGTACCTGAATATGGGTGGACAACGCAGAAGGTTTTCCACTTGTTGAATTTTGTTGTCAATGGGTGTAAGTAAGAATTGTGAATTATCTATAAATAACTCTGTTAGCATATATGTTTTACTTTTATGCTGAATCCATACTACACATGCAGTGAGGGCTGTCCTTTTCGGTTTATACAAAAGTGTTTTTGCAATTAGACCGAAGGTATTTTTCTATTCTTAAATCTCACCTACTGGAATTCAGGCATTAATCCTGCCTCTTCATTTCTTGCTTTGGTAGGTTAGGGAAGTATGATGAACATAGAGCATATCATGTCTCTTGCTAATCTTGAATTTTGGGTATGTCAATTTGGAATGGATATGTTATGAAAATAGTTTAGTTTCATCAAGATTTTCTTTTCTGTTGGTGCACGTCATGACTGTAGAGTTTTGGGTCAATAGCATGTTTATGATGTCCATTACACATCTACACTTTGCTCTATGATATATAAAATTAAGCACCCCCACCCCCAAACCAAAAAAACAAAAGCAGTTTAATAAGGAAACACGTAAATTTCAATACCTGAATTTAACAAATTGAGTGCCCTTTTGTTAGCCTTCATTTTTCTGTCATTCATTTTTCAACCTTTTCTTTTTCCCTTTGGCAATTCAGCTTACGTGTTACTCGTTTCTAAACATATTCTGACCCATTACCATGTCATGTTATAGGCACTCGAGCACGTGCTAATGGAAGTTCCTGGTCTTCTGTTTTTTTCTACTTATACATTGTTAGTCTTGTTCTGGGCCGAGATATATCACCAGGTATATTTACTTTCTTTTGGGAGAACTACAATAATAGTCATTTTTTTATTCATTTGAGATAAGTTATATTCTGTTTATGTGCCACAAATCTATTTCAGGCAAGAAGCGAACCGGCACACAAACTTAGGCCTGCTTATTTTATCATCAATGGAATTATTTACTTCGTACAGGCAAGTATACAAACTTAATTTCATAGTTCGCCATTCCAGTCCTTAAAATAAGAAGTCTTCTTACAAGTTAATTTAATGTGTTTTTTTTTTTTTTTAATCTTTTCACCCTGATTATGATAGGTCTGCCTCTGGATTAACATGAGTGTTAGCAAAACTGTCACTGGCATGGAAGCTGCTAAACTCTTCCTTGCAGGTTATTTCTATCAACATCATTTTAGTTGATGACCTTTTTGTATCAAAATTTAATTTTCATCTTGCCCGCATATACTGCGAGGACTTCATCCTTTTCAGAAGATTAAGACATATATAATGAAGTATACTTGTTAGTTGCTACTCCAAAACTTCTCCTGTATATTAGTATCTTGAATTTTTTAATGTTCTTTTGCAGTTTTATCATTCTGTGCTGCTCTTGGATTTTTGTTGTATGGTGGAAGGTAAGCTTTCATCCTTCAGATTACACAATACTTGTTATTAATTGAACCCTAACCTGCTCAATATGGTGTAGGTTGTTTTTCTTGTTGAGGCGCTTCCCCATTGAATCCAGAGGTCGTCAAAAGAAACTTTATGAGGTTCGTATATGAGTTGCAACCTTAGAGTGCAAGTACATAATTAAATATCAAATTCAGTCTATGTTTCAACTGTGAGGGAAAAAATCTGTCTTGAGGACTTGATAAAAACTCTGGTAAAATTTTGGTGCCTAACCTTTTTACCCTGGCAGGTTGGGTCGGTTACAACAATTTGCTGCACTTGCTTCATGATAAGATGTGCTTTGGTGAGTTTCTCCCAATTTAAAATTATTGTGTATAGTTGAAGAGGCTGTTTTCTGACAGGATCTATGTTTTCACCTTCAATGTAGCTTGCGCTTTCTGCTTTTGATGAGGATGCAGATCTTGATGTCATGAATCATCCCGTTCTTAACCTAGTGTACTATTTGGTAAGGCAAGATCTTACATTTCTTAGTCAGCCTGCATGGAACAGCGGATCATGTTTAGTTCTATCGTGTGACTATGCATTTAAATGCTCTCCTAAAATAATTACTACTTCGTTGTATGAAAATATCATTTGATTCGTTAACAAAAGATAGCACGGCCTTCCTGAACATGGGCCAATAAGCCTGTGCTTAGGGAAGTGTGAATGTGCTAGAGTTCTTATTCCTTAAAGACCCTACTTTTTCCAATATTGCGGGCAAGAATGTCTTGGGTAAGTTAAATTCCACCCTTGTTGAAGTTTGACAAGAAGTATAGGAAATTGCATTATTGAAATTAGTTTTTAAGGTTTATGTAATTTTGGAACATAGGTTGCCATGTTATCGTAAATTTCGTATCGGAAGAAAATATGGTTTAAAATAGCAACAAAAACATATTGTGGTCCTTCGTTATTTGTCATGTTATGAAACACTAGCCAGTCCTCCTAAAAGGGAAACATTTCGATGCTACCATGCCCATTATGTCCACAGGACAAAATCTGAGTTTTCAAAACAATAACATCTCTTACTAAATTAAACATTAAAAAATAAAAACAAAGCATTTGGTATTGCTGAAATGACGTTTGGTGTTTTTATTCGGGCTAGTAATAATGTTGTAAGCAGCCATTTTTCAGACTGCTCAAAACTATACTCCTTAGATGGATTTTGGAAAAGGACTCCGTAGAGTAAAGGCTTATAAATAACTCTTAATATTTAAACCAATCCTTCACATGAATCCGTTGGCATTTCTCTCGGGCTTGAAACTCTCTAGGCATGCATGCATGCAGGATCCTCTTAACACTTCCCAGGCATATTTATAATAGGGACTGACATTTGAAAGAACTCATGAAAAACTTATTTGAACTTACAAAATATCTTTTGACTTTCATAAGTTGAACTTCTTGATTTATTTCAATATATTTCTTCATGTAGTTTATTAAAGGAAACTCTTTTTAGCTTATTTATTATGTCGTGTGGTCAAATTTATGAAAAAAACTTATATAATAAGAATTTGTTGAATTAGTACTTAATTGAGCATTCTTTAATTAATACTGCATTTAAGTGAAACTTTAGGAAGATATATTTTGGCACTGTCATATGCTAGAGGGAGTTCATACGCTTAGTAGAAAGATCAAGTTTATGTCATATTGATGTTACTTGGAAGTCCCATTGTAGTATTTGTGAATGGTTCTCTCTTTGTTGATTATTCTGCTATTCCTATGCAGTTGGTAGAGATTGTTCCATCGGCGTTGGTGCTTTTCATTCTGCGAAAGTTGCCCCCAAGACGAGTTTCTGATCAGTATCACCCCATCAGATGAGTTGTGCATTCAAAATCCTCTCAGAAGCCCAACAATCGGTTCCTCTTTAATAGATCTTTTTCATCTGTCTCAGCTGCTCCATAATCGCTCAGTTACTGTTCTGTATATTCATAATTTCATTTTATTCAATTAATACCATTTGTTCTTTAGAATATGAGCATGTCGATTATTCTCTTTTATTTCAAGAAAAAAATAACTTTTTTTTCTTTTAAAGGAAAAAGTATTGTGAAAAAAAAATGTGGACTTTTGAAATTGAAAAATCATTTAGAACAAAATATATGAAAAGACCAAAATGGTTAAGAAATTAATAAGTAAAAAAAATTTATTAAAATTTTCTGGGAAATGTGTATGAAGTGTTATATTTTTTGAGAAAACATCTTTTAATTGTTTCGTTGCTTTTGGAGAAACGGTTACTAAAATTAATATTTTAAATGTGTTTATTTCAATTTTCACTGTTATGACAACTTGGTAAATGTTGACATGATTATAAAGGCCAAACCACATTTTTCATAATATTGTATTATTTATTTACATAATAAAAATTAAAGTGGAAAATGTAGTGTTGACATTTCAATCGTTCAATTAACTTGTGTTGTCGGCTCAATTTTAAACTTGAGTTAGATGAATTTTTCGTAGTTATCTCATCTAATTTTTAAGATAAATGAATATTAATACTTATTAGATCTATTTAAAATATATTTATGTACAGAGAAAATATAAAAATTTATGGAATAATTTAAGGTACTTGCACAAGCATTATTGTCATTTTCATTATATTTTTATTTTTCCTTTGGCTTCAATTTTTTCCTTTATTTTTATTCTTCCTTTCTCATCTCGTTTCCATTTTTTTCTTCTCTAAAAGAATTTTATTTGTATAGATGACTATTAGAGAAAAAAAGAAAAAAGATAATGATTTTGCCAGCAATCAGGAAAGCAGTGAGTATGCGAGTGAATTAAAAAATGGTTATTCAAAGAAAAAGTTATTTTAAAATAGAGAATTTTCACTTTAGTCTATTTAGAAGAATGATTTCCATATCAATCACATTTTGCTTAGAAAGAAACCCAATCACCTGGAAAATACTCTCCACGGTAGGAATCTATTCACATCGACAACCTATATCCATAAATTTCTATAATTCCCCTTACGCATCAACCACAAACAACGTAAGTGCAACTCTGTATATTTGTAAGAATACATTTTCTATGGCATCCTAATCGGACACAGTAATAGTGAGTGTGAGTTAGAACTGTATTAATCGCATCACCTCTTGATGATAGGAATTAAATGCATCGTAGAAAATATCATTTCATTTTAAATCGCGTCAACTTTTTTCATTTATAACCTTGATATTACTTTTCTCAAATGCAAATCAAGATAACATTAACTAATCTTTATTAGTATCCTCATCCATTAACATTTCACCCACTTATTTAATTAATTCTCAATTTCTTCCATTTTAAATAAGAATATTTCAATCAAAGAAAGTCATTTTATCATAATAATTAATATAATATTTTTTTGAGATATGCACATCACATTAGATGTTTAAACACTCGGAATTTAAAAAGAAAGAAACCAGATGAAAAAAAATGGAATTAAAACAAGACTAAATCTAAAAAACGACACATAGATAAAATCATCCTGTCATATAAAAATCACCATATATAAAATTAAACCATGTCTAGATTACATATTTGAAATGTCAAATCCGAAAGCATTCCATGTTTCATAATCTATTATAGTAGCCAGCCTTAGATCCAAAAGTTTTTGGGGTACAAAAACAGGAAGATCTAGGATCCAAGTAATTCTGAATTCTGATTATATATATATATAGATATATAGATATATACAGCAATACACGATGTTAGGGACCTTTCCAATGCCGAATAAAACCGACTGGCATTCTATTTACAGCGAGGTCGGGGGGTACCGCAGACAAATCAATCGAATGCTATGGGCAAGAAATTTTCATCATCTAAAAGCATGTCAATATCAATCAAATCCTCCACACCATCAACAGTCTCTTCCGAATTTACCAAATTCAAATTACCTCCCTGCTATAAATCAAAAGAACATATCATTAAGCCAAATATTCATCTTGAGTTTAGTGTAGACATAGGACACGGCATACGATAGAAAATACCTTGGTTTCACGGAAGTCTTCTACTACATTTAGCAGCCGCCGGTATTGAGCCCGTGCCTCTGGATACTGAACCATGGACTTCACCCGTGAAAGGGCCTTTTGGAACCTTGCTTCACTTTGTTTCCTTCCTTCCTTCAGAAAATCATAATCATCCTCTTTCAAAGAATCGCTTGGTTGGTCGGGGACCTTATTAAGGGCATCTCGTCGAAATCCACGTAAACCACTGCCCTTGCGCCTCCACCGTAATATGACCTTCTCCAGGATTCCCACGGACCAAATGATTGATTTAAACTGCTTTCTTACCTGGTGACCTCTTACGTGGGCCTTTAACACCATGGAATTCAAGTCAGTGGAAGGGTGTATAAAATATTCCAAGGGCACATTGAATAATATGATAGACAGAAAGAGAGAAAAGAGAAGGAAATACTTTAGAAAGATGACAGAAAATACATCGACAAGAAATGAACGGAAGGATAACATGAATTTTTAACCCCTGATGTCCTTACAACTGGAGAGTAGAAATTGTTACAAATATTGAAACCCAACGTGACCTCTACATACATGCCATGCAAGTAATATAAAGGGCAAAAAGAGATGGTAAAGTATTGAACAAAAAGGTATTTTAGCATTCCTTCCTCAGTTTTCATCAATTGAACCCTCCAATGAAGCAGCATCAAGTTTTTGGTGGTCTGGATAAAAAAAAAAAAAGGAAAACTTTTCTAATCTTATCTTCTTTTCAATATTTGTTTAATCAGCATGATATGATAAGTGCATTTCCTAGGTTTATCCTATTCATTCTTCGCTTTAGTGCAAATTTTATCATTGACAGTCTAGGTTAGAAATAAACAGAGTAAAATAATATAATGTATCTAATTTGATATTTTTTGTATTCATCAAATGTAAAATAAGACAAGAGCTTGTAGATCATGTTCTTATCTAATTCATATCCTATCCTTTTCTATTATATCTTGTCAACCAAACGGATGCCCTAAATAATAGAATAGTGGATAGGATGTTCAATGAGAAATCAATGTCAAAGAAATCAGCCAGGTGACTGAAAAGAACAACAAATAACATGAAAAATGGTTTTGTTAACTTCAGCCCTTAAGGTAGTGAGTTTAAGCATCCAAAAATAGTAAATATCTATTGGAAAATGAAATATTTATTAAACTTTTGCATTTTCAATATAATAAACATTTTTTTCAATAAAAGTTTATTACGTTTGAATGCTTAAACTTAATCTTAAAGGTTGAAGTTAATAAAAACCATATTAAGAATAAAAAGACTAAAAAAAAAAAAGTAGAGACCTGCTATTTGGTACAAATAATAACTCACAAAACAAGACAAATTTAAATCTATCCAATGAGGTTTTTGCATTACAATATATGCGGGGTAAAAATTGGAAGTTATTTACATTGAAAGTTAATAACCTCCTTTTGTCACTTTGTAAACTATAAATTCGTACCAAACAGGATTTTCCAAAAAAGAAAGAGAGCAGAACAATGAACCTGGATTTTAACAATTCTTTGACGAATGATCAAGAATTCTTTTCTCTTCTTCCAACCACGGAACTTTTTCTGTATTTGTACCGCAGCAGCATTGGCTAAACCACCTCCTTGTCCAGATTTGCAAGCCTTAGAAGCTAGAAGGGAAAGAGCTTGTTGATCCCACAATCCAAATTCATCATCTTCACATTGAGCTAACTGTTTCCTCTGGAATGACTGCATTCTGAATACTTGATGTATGCGATCAGCAGCTTGTGTAGCATTACGAACAGCATTTAGAGAATCCTTAAGGCAGATAGCATCTGGTATATCACCATAACGCACAGGTGTTGCAATTCGCTCAAAAACTGTATGCACAGCTTTCATTCCTGAAGCTTCTTTCCTACTATCTTTATTTTCATCCATTGTGAGTGATTCGAGGTGGCTAGTTAATAATGACTCGTGGCTAGTTAATAATGACTCTCCAAGAAAACCAGAAATTCCTTTGTGGCCGTTGCTAGAAGCAAGATCTGCAGGTGATCTACCTGAAGGAAATGCTGGGGATGGGTCTGTCAGAGCTCCAGTGGCTGCACCCATGGTGACAAGGATAGCAACTGTTCGCTCTCTAAACAGAGGACAAATAATAAATTAGTGCAGCACAACTTCTAATGTCCTAAAACATATATACTTTTAAAATTTACATAGATTAGTTTATTATAAAATATTTTTACGTAAATTGTTAACATTCAAAAAGAATTTTAACCCTCAAATTTAAAAAATACAAATAAGAGATAAATATATTGAAATATAATTTAAAACTTATTATAACAATATATTTTGAAAACAATTTTTCCAACATGTATGTAAAGAAACACAATATGAAAATAAAAAATAATATTTTTTGATTATAAAAATTTGTATCAGTAAATATTATCAATATATTGAATCTCATGATATCATATAATTTTCAAGAAAAACTTATTATATATATGTTCTTATTATATACCCTTACACACATTAGGAAAACTATTTATAAAATTAAGGGAAAAAGTCTCAAAAGTTTAATACTAATTAAATTTACTACAATTATATGTATCTAGTGAAGATAGCAATAAATTATATAGAATAAAATAAAAAATCATTTGAATTTAAATTTATCATCAGTGGGATTACAATTAAAGAAATATATACAAAAGTTGAGCAAAATTAAGAAGGTAGTCACAATAAATTAATAGAAATATACATGTAAACAATTTAAAAAAGTAATATATGAATGAGGCTTCTTTGGGAAGTCATTTGATAGGCTTCCACGCGAAACTTCGTAAAGTTAAATGTCATAAAAATATATAATGATAGAAAATTCAAGAAGGAAGTGTGTGGCACTCTTTTAGTTGGTGAAAACAAAAAGGAAGTTGACTGGGTACAGGGTAACACGAAGAGGAGTGAAAAAGACTAACATCCCAAAAAGAGAGATACGGTAGATAAAGAGAAAAAAGGATAGACTACTATTTGTTAACTGTGATACAATTATGATTTATTTTGCAAACATGAGATTTTATATATGACATGTTTTTTAGATGATTTTAGAAAAATGACTTCTTTAGAACATTGCAAGAGTAGTAGGTGTTAACCTTGGTGTACCATGACTTATTTTTAGGTGGCAGAGCCTGTTATTTATTTCAGGTGGGGAGCCTGGCATTATCAATATATTTCCAGGCAGAGTATAATCAGGTAGGGAGCTAAAGTTTGGCATGGGTTAGAGAACCTCCAAGAGATGAAATTTTTTAGTTGATTGTTTTGAAAATTTATAATTGTTCCATTATTTCCAGAAGCAGGATTTGATGTTAATAGATTTGCCTTTAACTGACCAAATCATTTGCTTCACAGTTCATTTTTGAACTAATTCGCGTGCATAAAAAACCAGTGAGCTTGGTACCAATATGGTATAAATATATACATTTGAAAGAAGAAAGAGAGAAAAGATTTCCTAACAGGCAAGGTGCTGGAATTTTTATATCATCCAATGGTTTCATACGTAATTAAATCCAAAATTTCAAAACTCTAGAAAAGTGGAAATAATCAGGGTAGCAAAAGAAGTTTCAAGTTGATAAGTAGTTGCAACATATGCAAAATCAATTAAAAAAATTAAAGAAAAGAAGAATTATGTCCTTACCTGCCACAGGATGCAGCCCAGTGTAGTGCTGTCCATCCATTCACATCACGGAAGTTGATATTCACTCCAGCAGTTATGATTGGTGTTATGGCCCAATCATAACCAAGAGCAGCAACTAAATGTAACACGCCTTGCCCATTCTCACCCAATACATTAGGCCCTTTACCAGTTTCAGTCACTTTGTGAAGAAGCCATGAGTACAACTTCTCTTTAACCTGCCTGTGAAACATCTCCTTCAACTTGTGTTTTGATATATCTGTCTCTGCAGTTGGCTCTTCTTTACTTGAATATTCTTCTTCCTCTTTCAGCGAAATAAGCTTGAAAATTAAGTTTCTTTTCTCCATATTATCCTCAAAAGCCTGATTCAAAGGGTGCACTGTGTTTAAAGAAAGTAACTCTTCCAGTCGCAAATGAAGCGTCATTTCAGCCAAACTGTTATAAAAATCTGCAAAATCTATGTTTTTATCAAAGCCCTCTCTGTACTCAAATTCCCGAACTTCACTACAAGCAAACCTATTGGAACATGTTACGTAGAAGGGAACCTGTCCAATGTTAAGAGATGGAGCTTGACAGCACAGAATTCCATTAGCTAAAACCTCAGCAGGAACCTCCACTTCCCCAAACATACAGGACCACTTACATGTTGCCACCTCAGGTTGACTCTTCAAAAATGTTCCAATAATCAACACCTGAATGGTTTTGAATAAGATATAAGATATCATTCAAATTACAGCTGGCTTCTCTTCATTTCATGTTGTGGTAGAAACCCGTATAGAAAAAGGAGCAAACTATTAATCGTGCGTAAAACTCTAAAACAGATAATGAATATCATCAGGAGAGATCTAGATACAAGAAATACTAAGTAACAAAAAAATAGACAACAACCACCAAGCCTTATCTCACTAGGTGAGGTCAGCTACATGGATCACAAGTTGCCATTAGTTTAGTCAAAAACCAAAATTTTGAAATTAGACAATATTAAAATAAATAAATAAAAGAACAAAACTTTATGCATCTGATCTTAACAAGAGTAGACAATATCCCAGGCAAAAGATGAAAAGATATTAATCTAAAGTGAACTCCAAGTACCATACATATTTAATTGCTTATTTCCAACACGTGTGAAAAGAAAAACAAACTGCAGAACCATAAATAGTTGCTTAATATATTGTATAATTGTGTAAATCTCATATCAAAGTACCTCAATTTCAGATTCAGCATAAGTCCATTTAGGTGAAAAATCATTTATACTGAAGAGCTGGTCTTGAGACAGGGACAGTTTCAGTGAGGTGTCATCTATCACATGCCCACATTCATCAGTGCTCCATGAAATACCAGGGGAAGACTGCATATGCAGATCATCCACTCCTGCAAGTTCTTTAGTAATCCACCTGGAGAAGCTATCAACCTTCTGTAGGCTCTCCTCTCCGCCCAAGAATGCACGTTTCATGGTCAAGGTGGAGTTGACACTCTCATCACCAGGAACTTCACCCTCAGAATTGGATTTCTGTGCAGGATTAGATTGTGTATGTGCATACTGCTTCGAGAAGTTTTGCTGCACAGACTGCTCCTTCGGCTCATCATTAAAAGTGAAGAGCTCAGGAACAATTTCTGGACATGCATCATTAGTTTCTTCCCCCAGTAAACCAGTATACTCAGATCCAAATGCAGCGAAGCCCCATTTAGGCAATTCTCCTGTATTGTCTTCAAAAGAAATCTGAATCAAATGAAAATAGTTATGATTGTTAAATTTCACAAACTGGTGCAGTAGATTGAAGCTTTTGAATGAGAGAAACCACTACATGTTAGATCATCAGGGTTGCAGATCAAATATAAAATTGACACCAACACAATGCACACTTCCTCGCACCAAGATATTTAGCAATATTTCAGGCCACTTAATTCTCATCTAAGCAGATCATATAAAGATACCCTTAGAATCCAATTGCAAGGTATGGGAGTTGAGTTCCACACTTCCACATTGGAAATAAGGAATTCCAATGTGAGATTTATAAAGAATTGGATTCTCTAGCTACAATGGCTAACTTTTGTAGAATGGTTCTCTCAAGGTTCTTATCAAATGTTATCAAAACCTTTACCATGTCTCTCAGCTGCAAACGAGTTGCATGAGTAGTGATGCCAACATTGCAGTGTTCATTTGAGAATAGTCAAGAGGCTAGTGCACAACCAACCCACAGAGCACCAAGACTGCAGAGTGTGGTGGGATGTTAGGATCTGATTGCAAGGTATGACACTTGAGTCCTAAGTTGAAAGCATGAGACTCTAATGTGGGGTTTATAAAGCTTTATGCTCCTCAACTGTAATGGCTTATAGCTTTTGTAGTATGGTTCTTCTAAGTTTTTTATCAGATAAATTGGGGGAAACATCAAGTAAAAAGGGAAGTTTGCAATAAAAATAAAAGATAAACCCTACTTCGTGCTATAGCACTTCTACAAGTTCAGAAACAATTCAAAACATACACGTGTAAAATAGTAACAAAAAGTCATGAATATGCTCCATCCCAATTCATCGTTCTATTTTATTGCAAATTATTAAAACACATTGACAAATGACTAACTCCCTGGAAAGAATGTAAACTATATTCCCAGGCCACTTTCCAAAAATTCAACTTTGTGAATCTCTTAATATTGTTTTGATATCAAGCAACAACTTCCACAAATTTTCACCTTCCCCAATTTCCCCATACTCCAGCAACTCTTCCTTGTTGCCAAGATAAATGAATGGGTGAACCATACACCTCATCAAGCATCAACCCTATTAAAAATATATGTTGATCTTCAAGGATAGAACATTACATAAAAATCGCACAGTATGCACTTAGAACTTTGACCAGTAATGCAATGTTTCTGAGATGGTGAATTCCAGATGTTGTCCCATTCTACAAATAGCACAACTACTCCTAATAGAACCTCACAAATAATACTTGTATTTGTCTTAAGAAGTAGGGTGTATGCATGCAAGTAAGAGTACACTACTGGAAGATATAAAAAGCAATAACATTAAGTACCTGCCAATTTGATTGGAGAGGATGAGAGCCACTTTCGTCTTCAGTGAGGACATTTTTATGCCCTAAAAGGCTGCACAGAACAGTATGATCTCCTTCAAGAATGTTTCCCAGTGAGCTTGATGGAATGGATCTAGATGAAACAAGAGAAGGATCAGTATGCACTCCTGAAGATTGCTCCATGGCATTGTCCCAGGATTTTTTGCCCTCAATGTACGTAGTATCACTGGCTCTAGATTTGTCCCCCTGAACAAGTGGCATATAATCTGTTCCAGAAATTGGTACCTGTCCATGATCACCTGAAAACAGTTTCAAAGCATACAAAAAAAGTTCAAATGTCAATTCTCAGAAAAAAAAAATTACGAATTGAGACATCATTTATATTAGAGATTAAAACTTGTAGAATATATGAAAAATAAATATCCAATTTTCTTAGAATAATTTAGAGCATCTTAAGATTAGTTTTTACATTTCCTTATTATCTCATGATTTGTTTCCTTATTTCAATAGGTATTTGTATTGTATGTTTCATATCACTGCAGAACACAAGTAAAACATATAAAAAAATAAAAGAGTAAATATCAGTAAGTGTATTCGGTCTCCTTTTATCTCCTTTCCTCCTGTTACATAAAACTATAATTTCAACAAAATAGACATTACAAAATAATCATCTTAGATGAATCAAAAAGACATGGTAACCTGAAAATGGAAGCACAAGATATGAACTATTTGAACAAGCGTCAATCTTATCCATCGGACGACCATTCCCCAAATATTGTGATTCATGATGAGAGTGTAATCCAGAACTTGCTTGGTGAATATCCTCTAAGAAGAAATTTGATTAAACCATTTAGCAAATGGACCAAACACTCATGTAAGCATATGTTGTAACAGTAAACCTAAGCATGTGAATTCAGATTCCAAGAATTAAGGCCTTCTTTAGGTAAACTTCTAAAGAAGTCCTTATAGGAGAAAAAATCAGTATAAAAAATCAATAAAACTTCTCCCATAAATTACAAACAACTTATACTTCTCTATTGTTTGAGAAGTTCTGAAATTTGAAGAAATAAGTTGCTTTTAACTTATGGAAGAAGTTTTATTCATTATTTACACTAATTTTCTTCTATAAGGAAGTCTCTAAAAGTTCTCTCAAAAAAGGTCTAAGTAAAGTGTACCATTCATTAATTAAATATGTCAGAATTACCTGAATCAGCATCTTCACATAAAGATGTCAAAGTGCTAGTTGGGCTCATGGAATCGGTACTTCTTGAAGGCATACCTCCATAATTTCTGGGAAAGCCAGATGACAAAGAACTGCTCTTCTGGGAATCTGATGTAGCCTCGCTAGTATCTGTACTTCCACCAATATTGGTTTTGTTGACCTGAAAGATGAAGAACCCACAAAACACCTATTAATAAGTCATCAAACGGATGAGTCAATATTAGATTAAAAAGTTCTCTGCCTGATTTCAGGAATATAGAAATGGACTTCAGGATCTTTTCAAAAGGATTATGCAACTTACTCTATATCATCAGTTAGGATTTATATCGATTAAAAATCAAGGGTAAAGTTTAGGAGCAAAAGAGAAAATATTGCATGTTACCATTGCTAGGTGGTGGATGTTAAAATCCTTAAGCATAACTATCCAGCCTTACTATTAAGAAAGAAAGCACATTCCTCAATCCATGATGACAAGAAATTGAAGAAGAAATCAGATGGGAGATAGATTTTCATTCACATTGAAGTCAATGGCTTAAGGGAAGGGAAAGCAGTACTTGTACTCTATTTCCTTGGTCAAGTTTAGAGGGAAGGATGAAAAAAACTCACAACAGCCTAGACTTGAGCTACTAGATGTCATACATTCTCTAGAAAAAAGTACACCAGCAACAAAACCAAACATCGATGCTCTCCATGATATAGTAAGGAAACAAAATACCTTAATAAGAAAGTGTGAAACAAAGAAATCAAGCAAAATACCTTAACATCCAAGTAGTGGACAAATACAATATGCATCATATCCCTGCGGTAAAACAAGTTAATAAAAGAATCATATTCTAAGTATTTTTAATTAAAATAAATTATTATCAGTAGAATATTGGAAACATAAAAATTTGCTGAAAAATAGAAAAACAGTCAAAACCCCAATAATATGCAATTGTTGTAATTAATTATAAATTGATTCCAAAAGTGATTACAAATGCACTAATGCAATACTTGACAAGAAGTTTTGACAGCAGCTGCCATGGGAAAATAGTATTTCAATTTTAAAGACATTAATTACTAATCAAAATAATAAAAAGTAATTAGTTAACCACACTTACTGTTCAAGCATCCAATAGCTTCGCCTCTGAAAATTTTCATTTTCTTCTCCATGGGCATAGTAGCAATGTAACACATCAACACTTCCCACCTAAATTTGCTTAAAGGATGTTACAACTCATAAAGTAATTATTTGTGGGTATAAAGACTTGTTTTCCAAATTAGAGAGAACTAACTGAAATAATTGGAGTTATCTTATAAATGCTTGTCTTACAAAGAATTTATTAACCACAAACTCAACAAAAGTAAATTTCCTGCTTACCTTTAACTTCTCATGAGCCTCCTTCACAGTCTTTCCATCTTTTTTCTTTCTCCAATTATGTCCATCCTTTCTAAAGTACCTTAAAACCTTCCGATCAAAAAGAAAAAGGGAACCACCTACAATCATCAAATACATGTCAAGAAGCAAAGTCTTTATGAACATGAAGCAATAACTAGAGCTAAAAAATGAATTGATGTTTACAATGAAGCAAGATTTATCATGAAAAACAAAAACTACAAAGAGTACCCTACAAACTTTGCACAACTGGACAAGATTATGCAAGAAAAATATATCAGGTGCCCTTTTGCTATGGAACAAAGATCTTATGGGATCTATCAGCTTGGCATGTATAAGGTTGCCAAATAAATCAAAAAGACATTTTAGGATATATAAGCAAGAGTTTTTCTGCAAGAGAAAGACAGCTATGTCTGACCTTCACAATTAGCATTTATAACGTTGTTAATCAACCTCAAAAATACTCAGTTGCAACAAACAATTCGTAGAGGATTAGTATTTCTTTTAGCTTTTTGAGCAATTCAGTCTATCCATATATGGACAAGACTCACAAAGGTGATGGTAATAAATTAATGGTTTAAACTTTAAATACATTTTTGGTCCTTATAGTTTACTCTAGTTCTGGTTTTGGTCCCTATACTTTAAAAGTTTAATTTTTAGTCCCTATAGTTTTAAAACTTTAGTTTTGGTTGCTATTGCAAGCAATATGTTAAAACATGTGCCTTGCAAGGTAGAACCATTTGAACCAATGTAGGGACCAAAACCAAAATGAAATGCAACTAAGGACCAAAAACTAAACTTATAAAATATAGAGACCAAAACTAAAATCAAAGTACAGGAATTAAAAATGTACTTAAATCAATTGATCAGTAACATATGCAGAAACCATACTTGGTGGCCTGTTAGGCGGTTCTGATGTGATCTGAAACATTCGATAATTGCGAAGAATTTCACATATTTCTGCAGGACGCAGCCACCGATGCTGGGCTTCAAATTGTAATTGCTGAATATCTGCACATAACATGGTATTCACTTAAATATTTATTACCATATTATCACATGTAAAAATGCAATAATTGAAGCAAACCTTAAGAATCAAACCATAGACACACTAATAATATCAATAAGAATAACTTTAATTCATACAATCTTACATGCATAAGAAATTTGATTTAGGTTGCGTTTTAAAGTACTTATGGAAAACTAATGCAAGTAGTTTATAACTCTCATAAAGCTCTCTTCATTTTATTTCAATAAGCTTCTTAGTATAACTTATCAAAATAAAGAAGAAAAATAAAGCAAGTTCACCAGAGCAGGAGAATCAAAACAAAGAAGGAAATCAAAAAATAGAGAAGGAAAATAGAAAAAAGAGAATGTTCAGTCATCGAAAAATATGCACGTTCACTGGAAATTTTGCTTGAGATGTAGAAGATGACCTGAAAATGTCTGAGTGACATCAGAAGCTTCGTTGGACTTGAAGAAGATGACTGAAAAACAGTCTAGGTCACGTGACAGGAGATGAAGAAAATAACCGGAGAACATCTCTATTGCGTCAGATGCCTCGCTGAAGAGGAAGAAGGACACCAAAAGCAATGGAATCATAGAGAACAGAGATGAAAAAACAGAATAAAGGAGAAAGAGCTGAGAGATGAGAATGAGAGGGTTTAGGGCTCGCAAGGAAGGAGGAAGAAGATATTAGAAACTAAGAGGGGGGAGAAATCTCAATATAGTCACCCTTAAAGTCACCAACGTTCAGAAACAAAGGGGCAAATCCAGAATTTCAACATGAATGGAATAGCAACAGCGATTTCTCTTGCTTTTTGCCACGATTTGCAACGCATCGACTGCTCCTATGAAACGCGACGCTGCCACTCCACTTTGCTTCGTTGCTATAGCAACCACTGTTGATTACTATGATCAAAATAAACCCTTTTCAACTTATTCTAAAAAGTTTTATACTCAAATTTATAGCATATGATATTCACCCTCGTATAATAAAAGCTTATTGAATAATTGCTTTATTAAGATATGTACACACCCTTATTCATGAGTAACTGTGGCTTATTTGATTTAGGAGATGTCATGTAGATTAGCGCTGCACTGCTCATTTAAAATCTTGATAATTGCAATATTATCCTTTTAATTTATACTTTAGGCAGGATCTAGCATGCACATGATCAATGAGCTAAAATAGCAATTACCAAAAGAAATTGCAATTAAGAATTTGGCCGCTGCTAAGATAATCCTGGCATGAGAACATCAAAATCACAATCTTGATTGTAAGATCACACAATCTTACAATTTTTTATTGCCTCTATACTCCTGATTATGCACTAGAACATTTTTATTGGATCAGGTAGTATCACTGAGCTTACTCCTAAAATTGGTAAGATCATGTGATCTTAGTGAGTTGGGTTTGACCAGTTTTTCCCAAAAAAAATAAAATATAATCAATCAATCTGTCTTATATCTAAAGCCCTAATCTATTTGTTTGTATGTTTGAAACCTTCTTTCCCATTGTGTGTGATCCCTATTCTCTTCCAAACACAGCTGTGCTCTTTGAAACCACTTACTGGTGACTGATCAATGCTGCTTCTCTCAGTTCTCTGAGCTTCTGCCTGTTCGAGCTTCACCTTCTGCAGCTGCAACTTCTTGTTCAAAACCCTGCTAGGTGCTTGTTCTCCCTCTTGTTTCAAGAGGGTTTCAGGGTGTTTCTTTTTCTTGTGATTGCACATGAAGCACGTGGTCTGTTTTTTGACAAGGTTTTGGGTTTTTGTGCTGTTTTGGTTTTGTTTGGTTCTGTTTTGGTGCTGAAAATGTCTTCAAATTCGATGCTTAAATTCTGATAGAGCCCAATTCCAGATTGGTCCTATTGAGCCATTGGCTCACGAGACAAAGTCAAGAAATTGTTAGTGTACTAACGGAAAAAAAAGAGGAGGAGCTGACATGGCATGAGAGAAGGGGGGGTGCGGGCAGTTAGAGGAGAGAGAGTGGGATATCTTTCTGTTATTTAGGAAATGATGTGAGGTTGTGGAAGGGGGCTGTTTTTTTTATATCTTGAGTAGAGGAAACTTAGTGATTTCTCTATTAGGAGCATTGCTCTGGGCAGTAAGGAGTCATCCTCCTTGCTGTATTTCTTCTTTTGCCATTAATACAGAATCAAAGTCTATTTTTTTCTTCAATTCTCTGTTTCACTTTGATATTTGTTGCTTGGGATCGTATTAAATTCTTTGTCTTGTCACATCTCAGATATTTGGTAGCTTATGTTGTAAATTTGTGAAGCGGATCACTTGTGTATGACCTGCTTATGGCTTTTCAATTCAAATTAAACTAAGAGTTTGCCGTGTTTAAAGGCTATTTTTTTATTTATGCTATTATATTATTATTATTAATATTATTATATATGCAGTTGCTAATATCTCATGATTTACAATCATCACTCCCCTTCCCAATCTTAAGTAGAATCTTGATTTTGACTACCTTGATTTGAAGCTTTTACCAGCTGGAAATATTGAAAAAGTGTAGAGAAAATTAACCATATAAGATTCAAAACTTGTTAGCTCCTTTGGCAAGCCACTTCAAGCTAACGATCAATTACCCAAGACAGAAAAGAAATGATTATGTCTCAAGTTCCTGATACATCAGCAGTAGGTAGTCTAAAGCATGCAATTGATTCTATGAGATCTAACATAGCATATGGAATTGTGAGCAGTTTCATAGCTAATTAGGGAAGTGGCATCAAGATATTCACAAATGGATCCTTTGGTAATTGAGAGGTAACAACTACCACAACATAGTCAGTCACCATGTTTCAAAAAGGGGCACTCAGCATGGTTTATTGAAGCATACTTATGTGGAGATTTGATGACAAAAAAGGCACTATTGTTGTACCTTGGGTGGAAGGGGTATAAGTTTAGGATCTCAACTACAAATACTGCAGGCTCACCCAACCAAAGAAGCAGAGACTGTTGCTGTCAGTAAAGCAAGCATAAAGACGAGCAAGCTGCAAAACTCTTCCTTGAGAAATGGGCAAAAAGCAATTTAAGTGGTGTGTTCTATTCTGAAATAGTCAAAGGGAAATTAATCTGGAAAGTTAACTAATCTCTTGCTGGCATATCTCTCATCTTGCAGCGAAATCCAGTGAGACCATGGCCACAGGCAAATTTCTTCGAAGCCCACAAAAATTTGTTACTATTGGGAAAGCAGGTCAGTATATAGTTTGTTTTACCATTTGGAACACCGTCTCGCCGATGCAAACTGCTACAAGCCCCATTTTGCAGCTGACACTTACTAGCTTTTACGCCAACTAGCATCGAGTACCGCATTTTTACAATAACAACTTTATTCAGCAGAGGAATATATATTGAATTCAATGCGAATCAATACCAATACTAATCCAAGCCATTCACACCTAGCATACATAATCACGTAAATGCCAAAAAACTCGCTTCTTCATTTTCACAGTAACCCTAATTGAGCTGACAAGGTCATTTTCAATAACAAAACTAAACGAAGTTTTCACTAAAAAAGAGCTTAAATCCATTATCTCATTTCCAGAATCCTACAACCAATAATCGAAATTTCACGAAGTTCCGTTACGCGAAATTGTTCCGAGGAAAATCAAACAGCATGATCCAAGCATTACATAAGTCTGAATTAAAAATTAAGTAAATTCAAAGAATAAGAAGAAGAAAATGAACGAATGAATTAAAAAAAGTAAAGTCTGACCTAATCGAGGTCCCAATCCGTAAGAAGCACGCTCCGCCATGGCGAAGACTGGAAAATCAGAGAGAGATCCACAACGCGGAAACGTAAGAGCAGTGTATCGGTATCTCAATCAATCACAGTCCTTTCTCCTTCCGTTCGTTCTTTCTTACTTCGCTTTTCTCTCTTTCCAGTCAGCTTCTTCTTTTCACACAGACACAGTGACGTGACGAGATGAATAACCCAGACAGCTACTCCCTATATTCATTTTCTTTTTTGTTTTAATTATTCTGATATCCGCTCTTGTACTTTTTATGTCAAATAATTAATTAATTAAATTTATTATATGTCATTAATCTGTATAAAAATATTAAAATTTTGGAAAAAAATATATATATTTATATATAAATTAAAATAATATTAATTATTTTTAAATAATTATTAATATTTTTTATAATTAAAAATATATATATATTAAATTATGTCTTTAAAATTAAATTTAAACATTTATAAATATTTTTCATTAAAATATATATTAATTATATTAAAGATATAAAAATATTATAAATATTTATTATTAATAATTATTTAAGATTAACTGTTAATATATAGGTTAATATTTTTTATAAAAATAAAAAAATTATATCATTATTTATTAAAAAATTATTTCATTATTTATTATGTTATTTTTATTAAAATACATTATAAACACTTATTCAATTAATTTTTTAAAATAATAAATTATATCATAATTAATTATAAATTTTTATTTAAATAAAAAATTATTTTGATAAGTATACAAATGAATTTATTAAAAAATTATAAACATATTTTAATAAGTACAAAATATTTAATAATTAAATATTTTACTAATACAAATCTAATTGAAAACAATTATATATAAAATTTAAAATATTTATATACTATCGTAAAAAAGTCACTTATCAGTATGTTTAGATTTAATTTATTAAAATTTATAAGAAAATATTATATAGTATATTTTAATAAAATTTTATTGTTAATTAAACTTTCTTATTAATTCTTATTGAAAAATAAAAAAATGAATATATTTAAAATAAAATGAACAGAGAAGATAGGATATAATAAGATTTACATGGGAAAGTGAATTATTGTGATTCCAAAAATGCTTTTGAAGCCAATGAGTTTAGGACGCGTGGTGGGTAGGTGGATACCCTGATTGCTTGGGGATGGACTGCACGTGCATCTCTCGGATAAAAGGTGCCCAACTTGTACCGCCTCATCCGACATCCTGTACTCACTCCTCAGTCTGCAAAACTTTCTAAGGAGAGAAAGGAATATTAACAACATATTTTTAATTAATAATTACAAATATATTTAAAAAATACTGATAATACTTTTAAAAAATATCAGTCTCTATTTTAAGATAAAAATTAAATTCAATTTCTCAGAATATGATATATATATATATATATATAATGTTTTGTAATTAATAATCATGATACTTTATTTAAAAATTCCTTAAAATAACTACATTATGTTAGTTAATAATAACACAAATGGATCTAAATTCAATAAAATTATAATAATAAAAATAAAAAAAAATTATCAAGAGAAAGTTATCTACTTGTTCCTTAAAAACTATATGTATTTTTAGATTGGTCTTTTAAAATTTTAAGTTATCAAATTAATTTATTACGAATTTATATTAATTTTTTAAAAAATATTATTACATCTGCTTTTTAAAACAATTATAATTAAAATAGACTATTAAAAATTAAAAATTTATTATCAAAATATTTTATAAATATTTAATTTGTCACTAAGTTAACTTCTTAAATAATAATTTGTTAAAAGGGAAATTTTATCTTTGTATTAAAACGTGACGGTTAAAAACTTTTACATTGTAGGCATTTGCATATATAATTTAGTATATATTTACTTTATTTTTATGTAAAGAAAATTACTATTTTTTTGGAAGATATAATGCATCATTTTACTTATAAATTAGTGACATGTTAACATGTAGTATCTCTTTTTTTTTATTTTCAGATCAAAGTATTTTTTATTAATAATAATTATATTTTATACGAGTAAAACTACTATAAATAGTTAATCTCTTCATTTAAGTATGAAAATATTCGATTTTATAAATTAAACTGTTACAACTCCTATCAAACATTATCTCTTTGATTAACTTAATTTAAATTTTAAACTTAATTTTGGTTAGATTCGTTGTCTAGATTTTGTTCTGGTCTATATTTAGTTTAATAAATTAGTTTACAATTACATTACAATTATCCTAAGTTGCCTTTGATAAAAGTGCAAAACGTATTTAACAACTCTTATGCTAATTTTCACTCCAATTTAGCTCCAACTCTTCCTTTCTTTAACCATTATTCATGGTATAGGTACCTTTAGAATACCACACACATAAATTACAACCCTTTAATCTACGTTACAATTGCTACCTTTTCAATCACAACTCCCACCTTTTTTTCCTATTGTGTAGACATGCCATGCAATGTGTTTTCTTACATTGGTATTTATGAAAATTTCGTTTGATACACAAAATAAATAAACTCTTAAAATTTATTTGATTTATCATGGAGAGTTTTAATAAAAAAGAATGTTCATTCTAACAGAAATATGTAATTTAAATTAATTTATATTTATAGTTTAATTACACTTAATTTATAATTAATTCTATACAATTTTAAATTAAATTAGTATTTTTTGTCTACTATACAAATATCTTTCATTGAAAATAATGCTGTTAGAATTGAATAAGACCACGACAATATTTAACGACTATTACATGTAGCAATGGGATGCAGAGTACATGGCATTACTTACTAGCTCCTTCTTTATTCTAAATGTGCAAATTTAAAAATAACGTGAGCCCAGCGGATCAAGTTTTGTCAAAAACTTGAACAAAGTCGAAAATCACGTGAAAGACACACTAAATAACAATCTAAATCCTTATGAATTTTTGGGTGTGATTTGTATATATCCAAAAAGAATGTCAATATTGGTCATTAAGCATCTTGCATGTGAACTAATTTGTGTATAAAATGAAATAAAATAAACAAGAAATACAACATGCTCATTGGACCCAACGTTGTCAGAACTCTTTTCTTATGGCCTAAACATTAATATATAAGGCATAATATTCGTTTTTGTTGTTCTTCAATATTCCTATAATTTACTATATTATATTATACGATAATAATAACAATCTAGTATTTGATAAATCAAGAGAAATGGACAAAGTGGTTAAAAAATTACCAATTAACCTATGTTAAAAAAGTTAAAATAAAATAAATTTGCATAGAAATTAAATTGAGCTTTTATAAAGAAATTAAATTTGAAAGATTAAAGGTTTTGGTCAGAATGAATGACGAAGATTAAATCACAAGTTTCTGACAGAATTTTCTTTTAAGTCTGTCTTCTAAAATTGTAAATGCATAAGTTTAAGTGAGTTTGTACACAAATTTTTGTAAAAAAAATAATATAAAAATGATAAAATTTCTTTTATCAGTTAAAAATAATATATCTTTTTAAATTTTTAAAAAGTTAAGTAAGAGTAATTTCTAAAAAAAACATAAAAATATAAGTTAATTTTAATTTATAAAAAAAATTATTCATCTTTTATATTTTTTTTCTTTTACAAAAATTTATCCGCAAGCTCACTCAAACTGACTCATTACATTTTAGGTTTTTTGTTTTTCCTTTTTTTTATAGGGGTTTGTCTCTTACATTTTTTTTGTTTTTGTTTTATTGAATAAATTCCTAAGCTGAATCAAGTTATGGAGCAAGGGAGAAAGCTCGGGCCCAAAAGGAGGAAGCTGGGACAAAAACAGATGTCGACTGAGGTATTCTAAGGTTATTTTTTGGAGTTATTTGTGCTATAATTTGGACTTTTGTGTTCTATTGTACTTGTTCTATCGATTTGTTTGTGTTTGATCTGACTCCATATTGTTCTATATGTTTGATTTGTATTATCTAATCTATTTTATTCCTTTTGGGTGGTTTTTGCACAAAATTCTTGACTTGTGCTGTTTGTATTTTGGAATACCAACTCAAGTCTCTATTTGTGGGTTCAAGACTAACTTTTTAAATTTTAGTTTAGTTGTAGTAGATTTGATTAAGTTGCATTATTTTTATCTCATTTACTTGGAGCATGTTTGATTTGATTATTTTTGTTGTAATTTTTTGTTTTCTTTTTCTTTTTCAGTTTAAATGGCATTTTAGTTGTACTATGATTTGATTCTCAATTCTCTTGGTTAAGCTTCTGCATTCTTATATGATTTTATTTTTTCAATTTCTTGTTGCATTTTATAAGTTGTACTCAGTAATTTTCTCCTTAACTAAGATAGCTTTCTATTTTATAGATGTTCTCAACATTTTGTAGTGATCATTGTATTTATATATATACATCTATTCTATCTCAGTAGCATTCTAACTCTACAATGATATCAACTTCTGTAAATTTTTGTTGTGTTAGTTCAATATCAATACAACGGATATTACTTCCAGAAATTTTGTGTTTAGAAGTTAATTACAAAATTTGTACTTGGATTAAGTTATCTTATAGTTTATAAGGCTATATTTGAGAGTTGAATTTAGGAGGGGAGGGAAGGGAAAAAGAAGGGTTAGGAGGAGTTAATCTTTGTTTATAAGTTGCTTAATTAAGAAAGAAAGATTTCAGATATTTTTCTAAATCCTCCAAAGTCCTCTTAACACTAATTTTTTGAATTCTCTCAATTTGAAAGTTTTTTAAAAGTTTTTTTCTCTCACTCTCTTATACTCTTTCACAGCTATGATTCTAACTTTTTTTTTAAATATTAGTTTTTTTAAAAAATTTATAAAAAATAAAAAAATTAATTTTAAAATTATTAATTGTTGGAGAAGAAAAAATATTTATTTTTTATATTTTTTATAAAAATAAAAAATAAAAAATATAATAATATTATTTATATAATTAAACCTCTATCATCTTCCCCTATTAATATTAAATATCTAACTAAGGGAAGGATTTAACCTCCTTCCCTTCCATTCCCCTTCCCTCCTTCCTTTTTTAAATTCTTTTCTTCTTTTCCCATACAAACTTTCAAACAAAAACTAAGAAAATAACTACTTTTTAATCTATGATCATTTGTTTTAATTTGAGTAAGTTAAAATTGTTAATAGACTAATACAAGTATGATGAGAAGTTCATGGCTTACTTTCATCTAGAGGATTGTTAGGAGTAGAATACAAGAAAATTACCGTACCATATAAATGATCATTAAGAGCATGAAAGTCAAAGAATATTTGTTGGGTAATATATTTGAAAGTGATTAGTTGTACTTTAAGGATTTGTGATTAAATGTAACAAAGAATATTAATAAAGAGGGTCTCAAAAAAAATTTATATTTAATTTTCTTTAAAAAAATTATTTTAATTTATTGAAAAACTTATAATATGTATTTAATATTTAGCATTCACTACTTTAAAATTTGGATGTTTCAGTTGTGGACAATAATCTAGCCTTTGTGTAGACTAAAAAGTGAGGTTGAGAAAGTTATGTTTAGGCATAAGTTGGTTGGGGTTAGATTAGGACCAAAATGTCTCTATCTCGAGACAATTGTTAGGTGAATATCTTAATTTGCTTTCATCCAATTATAATCTTGAATTCTTCAAGTAGCGTGTTGATTAAATATGAAGATCTTCATATGGATTATCCTCTTTCCACCATTATTACCATCAAGATTGTCACAAAAACTACTTTTTACTATCATCAATGGAGAAATCAAAAGAAGGAAAGAGAAAGAGTAGCGGTAGTGAATAACAACAATATTATATCTATACTAAAAAGGGCTCAAGTATGGTATAATACTCATCGCAAAAAAATATTTTGCCACCGTCTAGTTTCTTCAACTTTTGATATTGGAGTCTAGAGAAAGATCGAGTTACCGTGCAGTGAATGGTTCAAAGAAAAACAAAGATAATAGTAATAAGAAGTTATATTATAAACAAAATTAAAGACATATTGAGTGTAGTAGTAATGTGTTTTAAGCAAAAAGCAAATAGAAAGTAAAAATTAAAGTGCAATGTAGTGAAAAACATATGGTAGAAAGAGTGTGTAAGTAAAGCTAGAGAAGTAAAGAAAGATAGAGGCATGATAAGACACGATAACAAAGACATGTAATAAGAGAAAGAGAAGGAATGCATTTTTCAATCATACTAGTTATAATCAGGTAGAAAAACTACCACCCGTACCTGACCAATTTAACCCATTTTAAAGTGTAATTTGTAAATTAGAATTGATTTTACCTGCACTCATGTAAAGTTGCTTGACATGCGTTATTGGGTCCTTGGTTTTTCTAGTTTTGGTCGGTGGACAAAAATCTACCCACCCCTAAAAGCAAGTAAGAAGTGGAATAGGTCTTTAGCATGTATATAATAGGGGATTAAATATTGTCTTTTGTTAATTTAAATTTAAATTGTTCAGTACAGAAGTTAGAACAAGAAGCTTCTCTAATATGACGATAATTTATGGTTACAAAAAGTGCTTTATAATTTATAGAAGATACCTACTCTAGAAATATTACCCCTTTAATATAGTTTGCATAACTTTGTTAATTTTTTTTATTCATAACTTTGTTATTTAGTACATATATCATAGGTTGATAGACATGAATTCGTGTTAGTGTCATTAAATGGCAATACGCAACGCATAAAATAAAGCTATTTTGTGTCAAAAGTGTTAAAATGTATTTATATAATTATACTATATAACAGTTTAGTCACATTGATACTGATACGGAAAAAAGTAATACAAAGGGTTGTCACGTGATAACGTTCATGATAAATTTGGACCATTAAAATGAATTCATAATGGATGCTCTTATGACAGAATTCATATCATTAACAAAGCCTATGAGAAGTAGAGTAAAAATTATGTCAACCTACCACAAACTTATGTCGCTTCAATTCTAAAATGCACCTGTAAGAATTGATGTACGAAGAATCAAAGCCAATAGATAACAAAGAACGGAGAAAAAGAAGCAACATAAATTTTTATAGCAATTAGTGTCTTTAAACTTTCATAGACATAGTATCTTCACATGTTTATTAACAATTTCTTGATAGACTTTTATAGACAAATTTTTTAGTATATATATAACCATTTTTATATAAAAATTATTTTTTAAAATGAAAAAGATATAAAACAATAAAATAAATATATTTCAATTAGAAAGTAAGTTTTATAATTTAAATATTTGTAATCATACATATTATTACTTTAAATAGAATTGCGTGATTGAATCAATAAAGCTCAAAACAGTCGATAGATATTGGTAAATAATTGTGACCTTGTTTAAGTTTAAACTTTAACTGTGTATGAAAGAAATTTTATTAAAAGAAACAAAATTTATTTCGATGATCTCTCTATCTTTTAAAATTGAAGGAGACGTTAATCCATGAATAATAAGGACTCTAAGATTATATTATATTGTTTATATTTTTAAGAACCAAAACATAATTTACTGCTTTTCTTTTCACAGACAATTCCTTGTTTAATGTAAACAAATAAGATTAGAATATAGTCTTATTTGGCTGCTGTTACAAAGTTTTTGGAGCCGGGGAAGGTTAATTTGGCTGCTCCTAACGTAGAGCCTTTGACCCTCTCCGAGGAAGATATTTACTGGAACAGCTACCATTGTTCACGATCGACAAAGAAAATTCAACAAATAATTGTCGACAGTAGCGAAAACTCCATCGTGCTCGAGTGATTGCCACGTCAACCACAGTACCATTTCATAAACACAATCAGGAGGTTGTCAACTCTGGTCGACCTTTCCAACTTCATGAGATGAATCAAACGGTTCAGAAACATCCCGGCCTTGTCAAACAAATTATCGAAACACAAAAAGCATTTTGGTCGTGACTTTCCCTTCTCTTTCTTTGACTGTTCTGCTTTTTTTCACGTCATGTCATAACGAGGCAAACTCTAAATTGAACACCAAAATAAAATATAAATCTCCAATTTCAAGCCACTAGACTTTTATAAAATATTCAACTATATATAGATTTCCAATTCCGAGTCACTTTCTTTAATCTTCTCTATAAATCAAGATTCAACAACATGAAGCCTATTTTAGTAAGGTCAGCGGCGCGTGCTCTGCTCGGTGGTGGCCGGAACTACCCCCGCCACTTCTCAACGGCTGCGATCTGGGAACCGAGACACCAACATGGCGGCGGCGCGTTTGGAAGTTTTTACTTGCGGAGGATGTCCACGCTTCCGGAGATTAAGGATCAGCAATCAGAGGAGAAAAAGAACGAAGTCAACAAGAAGAACGACGGCGTCGTTTCGAGTTACTGGGGGATCACGAGGCCCAAGGTTCACAAAGAGGACGGAACTGACTGGCCGTGGAACTGTTTCATGGTAAGGTTCTTTGAAAGAAAAAAACCGTGTGAACTGATAAGCATGTTGTGTGTATATATTTTGATGACATGTTTCATTGATGACTCTCGCAGCCATGGGACACTTATCGCGCAGATGTATCCATAGACGTGACCAAGCATCACTTACCGAAGTCCATTGCCGATAAGGTTGCTTTCAGGACTGTCAAGTTTCTAAGGGTTCTCTCTGATCTGTACTTCAAGGTGCGTGCTAGTGCTATAGTAAGAATCAATTCTATATAAAAAATCATTTGTACGTACTTGATTAAGGTAAGTTTGATGTGTAAGTGTAATTAGGATCCCAAATTTTAGATTATTGTTGGGTGGTAACCGAATTTGACTAACAAAAGGAATTGTAGAAGAAATTTGATTCATGGGTTTGATTTGAATTATTCTTTAGGAGCGGTATGGGTGTCATGCGATGATGCTGGAAACAATTGCAGCTGTTCCGGGAATGGTGGGAGGGATGTTACTGCACTTTAAGTCTCTGAGGAAGTTTCAGCATAGTGGGGGTTGGATCAAGGCATTGCTTGAGGAAGCAGAGAATGAGAGGATGCACTTGATGACCATGGTGGAGCTTGTGAAACCCAAATGGCATGAGAGGTTGCTGGTTATTACTGCGCAGGGAGTTTTCTTCAATGCCTTCTTTGTGTTTTACCTCCTCTCGCCAAAAGCTGCTCATAGATTCGTTGGATATTTGGAGGAAGAGGCTGTGATTTCATATACGCAGCATTTGGATGCAATTCAGAGTGGTAAAGTTGAAAACGTCGCTGCTCCTGCCATTGCTATTGACTACTGGAGACTTCCCAAGGATGCCACTCTCAAGGATGTTATCACTGTGATACGCGCTGATGAGTGTCATCATAGGGATGTTAATCACTTTGCTTCTGTGAGTGTTAATTTTGTCAACATGTTTACCAAACATTGTCTTAATTGTTTTATTTCACCTTACTCTGAACGCTTTGTTCTTCTTCGTGCAGGATATTCACCATCAAGGAAAGGAATTAAAAGAGGCTCCAGCTCCTCTTGGTTATCATTGAGTCGTTATTTTTGTTTTTTGACAACAAAAATTTCTAGCTTTTGTTGTCTAAACACTCAACCTTTTATTTGTGCCTGAAGGTTCAATAAAATGTATTTTCAGTATGCATTTTGAAACCATGAATCTAATCGACGTTAAATAATAATGTTAAGTATCAATAAATAAAAGAAATGTAATTATGTGAAGGAGCTGTGAATCTTGTTATGGATTCCGAGATCAATATCATTGTCTCCTGATAATAAATATAATGATTTATTAAAATCGTGGCTGGACAAGCTAAATTGTTTGCTTGTAATTTTCTTGCCTAATCAAGATCTCGATATGCCTTTCCAGAAACACAAAAATATTGTATCACCATTGTTATTCGATGCCCTTCCCTCAGAGCAAACCGATTCAGTGCCATTTTTACAACTGCACGAGGTACTTATAAATTATTACTGTTATATAAAAAATGTGTAACATAAATTTTATTATAAAATGTTACTGTTGAAATTTCTTAATCAGTATGTTTAAAATAACCGCCAACTAAAATGATATATTCGTAGGATTTTTTCTGTTTTTCTACACCCAAGCAGCCTGAAAGCCACTAGCCATATAGTTCTGCGTCGATGTGCCCAGATCTAACGGTCAAAGTCAAACATCACGCAAGCTATATTGGTCAAGTCCGAGAAACTACGTTATTTGCGATGCACTGAATATAATCCCACTCCTGCCGCCTTACTCACTCCAAGTAGATGCTCATTTAATAACTAACATTTTCTTATCCAAAACTACGCGCGTTGTTGCACATTAAACTTCCTCCACTCCTTGCTCTTCGTCATCACAACCATTGATTACGTCATAAGACACTTAATCAACGGTCGCTAACGTTTCTAACCCGTCCTCACGAGACCAGCATAGGACCGTAACTTCCTCTGCCGCTTCTTTTCCCTCCATATACAAGCGCTACGCTTCTTCTTCAGCAACCGCAATTACAGAATTCGAGGATAGTCGGTTACAGACGAGTTTCTGGATAACGCGATTCTTCTAACGAGAGATGAGGCTTTTTGCATTGAGTTCTGCGGTTCGGCGAGCTATTTTCAATGGCCGGAATTGTAACCGCCACGGTTCGGCGGTGGTGAGGCCATTTGTGGCGGCGGAAATGCGGCACCTCTGTGCCGCCGGCGGCAACGCAACTTTCTTCTACTGGAAGAGGATGATGGCTTCCCCGGCGGAGGCGAAGTGGACGGAGAAAGAGAAGGAGAAGGAGAAGGAGGAGAGTTCGCCAACGGAGGCCGGGAAGAGCGTGGTGGAGTCGAGTTATTGGGGGATTTCGAGGCCCAAGATTATGAGAGCGGACGGAACAGAGTGGCCTTGGAACTGCTTCATGGTGAGGATTCTGATACTTATTCCGATTATGAAGGTTTAACTGAATATCTTATCGTTAATTAGTTGGTGACCTATTCATAATCATCAGAAAATTCCGTCAGCGGATTTTGATGTTGTTTATGAGAGGTGATGTTTGTTGATATGTTGTTGAGTTCTGCTTATGATTCTTGGAGTGTTTTTTATTTTTTACTTTTTGAGAAATCTACTGGGGGTTATTGAATGGCTATGGTTTTCCTTGAATGCTCACGGGCTTGATTTCTTTTATCTATGTAGCCGTGGGAGACTTATCGTTCGAACTTGTCCATAGATCTTACTAAGCATCATGTGCCAAAGAATTTTCTGGATAGAGTTGCTTACAGAACAGTGAAGCTCCTCAGAATTCCAACGGATATGTTTTTTAAGGTGTGCAGCATCTCACTGGATTTTGAATCTCCTATAGCATGATCCGAAACAAAAGAAAACAAAAAGGAAATATTAATTGTTTCTGATTCTGAACAATAAAATTTGTGTCATTTACACACCCAAGTAAGATGTTTACTTTTTGTGCCAAAATAGATGTCACCTTTTAAATGGCTATTAGTGATGCGTTTACTAATATATTCGTTTTCCACCTATTAATGGAAATATGAACCATGATTATTGTATGTAACGTATTTTGTTTATTTTAATATAGACTCGTCAGCTTCAATAGAAAATTTTGTTAAGATATTCTTCACGGAAATTGTGTCTATTGCCATCATCGTAATCCATCCATACATATTTTCAGAGAAGGTATGGTTGCCGCGCAATGATGCTTGAAACAGTTGCAGCTGTCCCTGGAATGGTAGGAGGGATGTTGTTGCACCTGAGGTCGCTCCGTAAGTTTCAGCATAGTGGTGGTTGGATCAAAGCATTGCTCGAGGAAGCAGAGAATGAGAGAATGCACCTAATGACTATGGTGGAACTAGTGAAACCTAAATGGTATGAAAGACTGTTGGTTCTTGCTGTACAGGGAGTTTTCTTCAATGCATTCTTTGTACTTTACATACTCTCCCCAAAGCTGGCTCATAGAATTGTTGGGTATCTTGAGGAGGAGGCTATACATTCTTACACTGAGTATTTGAAGGATCTAGATAGTGGTGCAACTGAAAATGTCCCTGCTCCTGCCATTGCAATAGACTATTGGAGGCTTCCCAAGGATGCCAAATTGAAAGATGTTATAACTGTCATTCGTGCTGATGAGGCGCACCATCGAGATGTGAACCATTTTGCTTCTGTAAGTGTCATTTCTCACCTGTGTAATCATCTTTTTGTTTGCCTTAGAAAAACATGCTTCTTCGGGTTCAGCAAAATCCACTAAATATCGTTTTCATGACATCTGTTTTATAATTCTTTTTCTTGGAACATAAATCGTGAAAAGTGTACATTACAGAAAAAATGAGAATGATGTGAGGTACAATACACAAAGATAATAATAATATGAGAGACAACTACATGGGCATTCTTCCTCCAATTTGATGCAGCCCATGAGAGTGCAAGTAGCTTTGACTGCAGAAATTTATTACTATCAGAGGACATATATTTGTTGTCAGATATAGTTGAGTAGGTTGAACAGAGACCGACAAAAAGAATACGTTTCATGTTTCACTTCAGCCACAGATTGAAGTTTTCTTTTCAGTGGGACCTACTGAATGGATATTTACTTGTATTCTAAGGGGTTATTTGTTCTTTCCTGTAAGTATAGACATAGAAATTGTAACCACCTAGGTAGGCAACATAATATATGTAAGATTACTTGGTAGTTCTGATATGTTCTTTTGGCTGATCTAGTAGTGCTGCTATGTTTTCTGCTCTGAACTTAGTTTGGACAATGTGGCGTGGTAGATAGTTTGTTTTTAAACAAAGATTGATTAATTTACTGTATTTATCATATCAAATATGTGTTGACATGCGGACATTGTTTTTACAATGGTGTACCCTGTGTTTTTTTTTTTTAATAAAATCTTGTTATTTTATGCAGGATATCCATTTTCAAGGTAAAGAACTGCGGGAAGCACCTGCACCTCTTGGTTATCACTAGGTCTTTACTATCACGAATATAAAATTACTGTGTGCATTTAAAAACTAGCAATACGAATGTATTGATACATAATTCCTATACTTCAATTCAATCATACTGTTGGATATAGCAGTTATGCCAACATCATCTTAGAACCATGTTTGATATGATACTATTACAATTTAGTCAAGTACTTCTTCCAAAACTGGAATGTTAAAGAGGACATTGACAGAAATGATGGATGGCTATGCATTATTATATTTGATAATCTGACAAGTATGCAATGGAAACAGTGATGCAGGGAAATTAATGAATGATAAGATGTAGTTTGAAGTTGAGAAGTAAAACTCTGAAGCTAGCATTAACATGCAACTTGAAGACTCATTTCACTATTACTTCCTTCTTGTGTGTAGACCTATCTCTTATCTTTCCCACGGGCTTTATCTTTTCGCAAGTTAAAGTAGGATTTACATGCTTTTAATATTAGGTTTGGTTCATCATCAGAGGTAATGAGGGGAGTATACTTCTAAAGCAGATGAAGTGTTGTATGTGGGGCTTCAGGTATAGTATAATCAAGTTGCAAAATATATTAGATATGAAAGTGTGGCCTACAATTTTCACCGCTACATTCGTCCAATTTTTTATTTCTTCATTGACATTGAGGGTAGGGACGAAACTTGTATCATTAAGAAATTTCTTTGGGGGTTTTTACGTGTGTAAAAAAGGATTTGGATCTTCCTTTCTCTTTTTTAAAAATGATAGTATCATGCATGACAAGACAAAGAAACTTCTAGGTAAGAGTGTTGAAATCACAGATAATGGTAAGTATTTGCATAATCTAGTTAGAACTAGGAGCGAAAATAAAAGTCAGAAGCACGGGATTTGAGAAGAAACAAGTGCTCATACAAGCTAACATCTCTTGACACACAGCAAACACTATTTGAACTCAACAGCTATAACCCTTGTGATTTGGACAATACTCTAGGAGGTAGGAACATATCTCTCTGACCTGAAAGTGACATTGTACTGATTATCAGGCCTTGGATAGGGACAAGAAGCACATCCAAAGGTCTTTAGTAATCAGGCTCTTGGCTGAAAAGAAGTTCTAAAGATGAGATGAGGAATTGCTGAGCTTCGGAGTATATATATATATATATATATATATATATATATATATTCATTTGAGACAAAATAGCTAATTTAGCTACTAACTAAGGATGGTAAATGATGGAAGGAAATAGGCTAAGGTGATATAGGAGTGTCACTAACACTTAACTGTTAGCTTATGTGATATTTTAGAATTTTAAGTATTATTTTAAACATGATAATTGTCCATTTAAAAAATAAAAATATTGTTGCTAATTATCCCTTTAGAGAATTGCAAATAGAATGATAATTGCTCCTTATTTTTTCAGAGATAAGCAGTTTTAAAGCTTTATATAAACTTGAACTTGTTTTGAGGCTGTACAATACGTTTTTTACCTATCTTAAGGCCTGTTAGAAATATGAGGATTTAACATGAATTTATCTTAGAATTTTTTTTGTTGGATTTGCAAACCATTCAGCAATCAGCTAAAGAGTAAGTTTATAATTATGTTTTACTAAAATAACATACAAGATAACACGATAAACATGTGCATTGCAAGTTTAGCTAACATATTTAAAACAATTTTAGTCATTGGAAATTGGCTAAGCAAACCAACACTTTATGTCCATAAGGTGTGGGTTAGGAATATGAGGAGTGAATTTTTTTAAGATAAATAATTGCTTTATATATATTATATAAGTTGCATTTGTACATATTGTAAAATGACCTGAAAAATTAATCAATCAAATAAATTATAATTTATTTTTATCTTTACTCTTAATTTACTTTCTTACATTTTACTTTTATTTATAGATATTTTCTTTTACAATTTCAGATTTTATATTTATTTATAATATTTTTTTACATTTATTTACAATATTTTATTTTTACATTTTTAACTAATTACAATCTTTACTTTCAGTTACATTTAATCAAAAGCTTTCTTGAATATCTTGAAAACCAATAAATGCATGACAAATTTTCTTTATTTAGGATAATCGTCTAATATCTTTTAAAAAATTATTTAAGTTCAGTCATCTTTATCAAATGATACAATTAAATTTATAAATTATAATTTAACATATTTTTTTAATTGAATGTAATATTTATTAGTTTAAAGTTATAAAATTAATTTTTTTATAATTTTTAATAAATTTTAATTAATATCTAAGAGTGCATTAAAAAAAAAGTTAGAGTAAAGAGTGTTTCTAACACTCTTTTAGCAAATATTAACATGAAATTTAAAAAAAATATATTATTATTATTATTATTATCTTGAACAAGTTGAGACATAATTTTTTTTTTTTAAATATGTGGTACATATAACAAATTATGGACAACTCAAATCTAAAATAAGTATAAGAAAAGTGAAAATACCAAAATACGGGTTGAATATTTGGTCCTGTATTGTTATACATTTTTATTCTATTTTCATTGGTGTATGCAAAGTCAGCCATCAAAATTTCAGCTTTAGGAGTTAAGTAGTTAATGAATATTCTTACTTTGTGTGTGATAAGGGTATTGGCATATAATAACAATATCAAGCCAAATTGCCTAGTTTGCCACGGAGATCCTACTGAAGTTAGTTCTCCCTTCCACCTCCTCCTCATTTGGTCCTCCCATTTTTTGGTGCTTTTTATTCTTCTACTCTTAATTTTTATCCAATTAAAATATACTATCTCTTTTTGTGAAAATCAAAACTGAAAATTAACTAATAATATGCTAAAATAAAATATTTATAAAAAGTATTATAAAATTTTTAAATCTTAAAGAATCGTACTAAAAATTATTTTAAGCCATTTGAACTTAATAAATAATCACAAGTGTTACAAAATTAAATTACATAATGATAACAACTATTATTACTGAAAATAAAAAAATAAATATTATTATAATTGTGTAAAATAAAAATTAGTTAAATAATTGCTGATAAATGGAAAAACATCGTAATAAAAATTAACATTATGAAATGTTAAAATTAAAATAATAACATAATAAAAAATATAAAGTAAATAATTATAATATAATTTACTATAAATCAAAAAATTTATATATAATATTTTAGTTTTTATTTAAAATAGTGGATTATAAATAAATAAATGTATATGTACGAAATTTTAAATTTTACTCAATTTTAATAATTCAAATCTTACGTGCACATAGATTTTTTATAATCTTTTATATATTTATTATTTATTTTATTCAAATAAATGAAGATATTTCTATATTTATGAAAAAAAATTATTTAAATGTTACATAAAGCTTGTTTTAAGTTCTGAAATGTCTGTGCTCTGCTGCTTCTTTCGTCCAGTCAAACATCATGTCTTTTTGTAGTAAAGTAGTAAATGCAAAAGCTATTTTGCCATGAGATAAACCCAGAAATCTTCTCAATTCCTTTAATAACAATAAGCGTCCTCGTTGCTCATCCAGCGTCCTTCCAACTTGAAGAACTGCTCCGCTGCTACTCACGAAAATTGCTTCTATCGATAGATGAAAATTGTATTTGGGCAAGTTTAATCACCAATTCAAAGGATTCTTCATGTTCGCTCTTCTTGTCATTCTCCGACGTTGATTTCTTTTTCAGACTTTGTAATGTCATGGATGCCACCAATCCTTCAATCATCGCTTGCATTTCTGTTAACGTTTTCTGCATCAAATTCTGAGAATCAGACATTGTTTTATCAAGAGTGTCCATGGTGTTTCCAATTCTTTGTTGGTCACCATCGTCCCCAAGCCACGTTATACCAATTTTCAAAAGAAATCTATAACATCCTTTAGAGTTTAGACACTACCTACTCTCATCAGAAAGAAGGTTGAAGAGGAACTCGATGTATTAAAATTGATCATAATAAATAAAAGATACAATAGAGAGTGTTATATATAACCCTCTATACACCAACTAATTTTTCTTCTAATTAACCCTTTTTTTTTCGTCACTTATAACGGCCACTTGAGGCTAACTTTCTAATTTTAACTAATTTGCTACTTTAATCCTATTTTCCAACTGTGCTTATTACCCAGAGGCAATGATTTTGGTGAAAATCTTGACACTGGTTCCTCGTTCATATATATGCTGAGAGGTGCGTGTGTAAACTTGACCTGTATAAGAATATTTGGTATAGCAAAGTGATAGAAAGAAGATTGAAAAATGAATAGAACAAGTAAAATAAAGAATTTGAAAAGAGACGAGAAAGCTTATTTAATATTATTTCTAAACGTGCATTAGACTGGAGCAAAATGTCTACAAACTAAACTTTTAGCTGACCATTTTGTATTGGGTGAAATAAAAGTACCGTAAGTCATGATTCAATGATTTTAAGATAGATTCTCAAAAAGGTTAATATTAAATTATTTTTTATATTAATTAAAATATGTACAATATTATTTTTATCCATTCAACTTAACCGGTTTAATCAATCACTAGTTCGATCAGTAACTCGGTAACCCGTTGTCTTGACCGGGTCAATCCGAGTTTTATAAGATTGAATGAAAGTCAAGACCAAACATATTTATTTGGAAATTTCGGAAACACACCGCAGCTAAGTAATGGGATTACGTAGCCATGTGACCGACTAGATTATAAGATAGACAAGTACAAAGTGAGCGACTCTTCTCTTCTTCAATCTCCTCCTCAATCTAATGGATTCTGCATTCTCCGTCACCACGACGGCGCACATGGCGCTTTTCAGAGCCCTCCACCGCCATTTCACTGGAGCTCCTCAACGCGCTTTTCTCCGCCGCAATTTCAAATGCGTCGCTGCTTCCTACCACAACTGCTGCCGCATTCCGTCCTCCTTCGCTTCCGCGCCATCGCCGCCCTTGTTCGGCACCTTCCGCGGATTGCTTCCGCGAACACCGTGCCGTCTGCGCTGCGTTTCGAGCTCCGCTGCTCCCTTTGTTTCCTCTGCTGGCGGTGGAAATGACGGCTCTGGAGCCCGCAACGGCGGCGGACGTGGCGGTTCTGGCGGTGAGTCTGGAGATGCTAATCTCAAATTGGTTGGAGACACGTCTCAGGAGCTTTCGGCGCTTTCGCCCGATGTTATCATTCTCGATGTTTCAGTGTGAACTCTTCTCTCTGCGAAGATCCTTTATTCCTGTTGTTCTTTTATTATTATTATTATTATTATTATTCAATAACTCAGTTTTGTTACTGTATATGTGATAGGGAATGGTGTGCGGGGGATGTGCGGCGACTGTGAAAAGGATCCTGGAAAGTCGAGTAAGTTGTTGAAATTTAGATTAGATTTGATTTGGTTTGGATGCTTTCGTTATTTTATTTGTAAGATGTTTGGTATAATGTTGAGTGTTCTGCTACTATTACACGGTAAGTTGATAGATTGGACACTCATGAGCATGTCGTATTTTGAATTTCACTATGGATTTTCTTGGAGATGATTAGCATTGAGGTGGAAAAATCACCCCCTGCGGTTTCAAAGCAAGGCAGTAGTTCAGTCATTAGTGTATGATAATTCTTAATTTGAGTGTGCTTTTTGTTATACTTGTTTCTAAGTCTGCAAGTTACTTTGTGGGAAAGAGTTAAATTGGCACTCTATGCTGGTCGCATACCCTTTACAATTTCTCTTTTCCGAACAAGAATATAAACAAAAATTAAAGGAAAGATATGTAAGGTGGTTAACAATTCTATATATTCTTTTATTGGGAATGCGTATAATATATATATATATATATATATATATGTGTGTGTGTGTGTGTGTGTGTTACCTTTCAGTAATCTAAATCCTGTTTCCTTACTTCTTATGCAAATGGATATTGGGCAGCCAGAAGTGTCATCTGCTAGTGTAAATTTAACAACAGAGACCGCAATAGTTTGGCCTGTATCCGAAGCAAAAAATACACCAAATTGGCAAAAGCAATTAGGGGAGGCACTTGCAGAGCATTTAACTAGCTGTGGTTATAATTCTAGCCTTCGAGGTAAATTTTTAAGATCACAACATGGCTCTTTTATTTTTTGTTGAAAAAATTTTACGGGAGGGGAGGTTGTCCCATTCCTAGGTCAAGTCATGCCAGAATCTTTAATGAGGGCTTAACTTGCTACTTACTCATGACCTACCTATGAAGGATCAACATCAGGAGCAGAACCCAAGACCTTTGAGTTGCATTATTCATTCCTACTAATTGAACCAATCATTATTGGCTCAACAAATTGGCTCTTACCTTTATTACATTGCTACCTGCATAATTTTCTTACCGATTACTTGCTTGGTTGGTCATTCTTCTTTTAGTTCCTTTATTATGTTATTTTTTTACACCTATGCCCATCCTATTTTATTAATGTCCATGGCATGTCTGTCAACTCCTAATTGAAGAAAAATTTAAATATTTTATGTAGATTTATCTCTGTTAAAACTCAATTTTATATTGCCATTTGAATTGTTAAAGTAAACTGCTTGATTCTTGGTCATAGGGCAAGCATACTGTTGTAACTTATTTGAAATTCTTGGTCATAGGACATGTATTGTAATACTATGGGCAATACTATCTTTGGTCTATATGCATCACTAAGACTCAAATAAATAGTAATTCAAGTATTAAGTAAATCTGTAAATAATTGCAATACCTGGTTTAGGTGGGCCTCTCATTGTTGGACCTGAATTGGTTCCTTCTTTCTGCCATACTTTAAAATATTTATCTTGTACTTGGTAATAACAACTTTGGATTGGGGATGAGGTCTTGATTCATGTACTTTAAAATACATACCTAATTATTTTCCATTTCTACATTTCCAGATTCTCATCATCTATAAAAATTATTGGCTGTAATTATTCTGAGTTCTTGTTGAAATTAGTGTTAATTTGTAAAGATACAATAAGTGCATTTTATAGACAAGAGTTGAATATAGGATTTTGGTTTGAAATTCTTAAAATTGTGAGTATAAATGACTGGCAACTAATTTCCCAAAACTTCAATTTGGGAAAAATATATGCTAGGCTTTTTTGAAGTAAGATTCATAAGCAAAGTTTGAAAAAATAAGGACTTGAGGGAACTCACTGAACTCTTTAATGAGATTTTAAAATCTAAGAATATGTCAGATGAATGGAGGAAAAACTCTTTGATCCTTGTATACAAGAAAAATGGTGATATCCAAAATTGTGCAAATTGTAGAGGGATAAACTTATGAGACACAATATGAAGATGATAGAAATTGTGCAAATTGGGATTGCAAAAGATCAATTTGGTTTTATGTCATAAAGATCTACATCAAAAACTATGTATCTTTTAACAAAGATGATAGAAAAGTATAATTACAAAGAAAATGACTTACACATGTTTTTTATTAACTCAAAGAAAATATACGACCCTGTATCAAGAAAAGTGTTATGGATGACTTTAAAAAAGAAAAAAAGGTTTGTGTAACATATATTCGGACTTTATAAGACAAGTGAAAGAGTAACTACGTGTATGTGAACTTTTAAATGTGTATCTAAGAACTTCCAATTGGGATAAGTTTACGTCAAATTTCTAATTTGACCTTTACTTGTTTAATCTAATCTTAGATATGCTTACTAGTGACATACAAAAGATTATTCCTAAGTGTATGCTCTTTGCAGATGACATTGTATTGGTTGAGGATTCAAAAAACGAGATTAATGCTTAACTTAAATTATGGAGAAAAACTTTAAAATCTAAGAGTTTCTGTTTAAGTAGAAGTAAGTTAAAGTATATACATTATAAGTTTAGCAAAAAATAAAATAAAGATTATGCATTGGAGGTTAAAGTTAGAAATATTATACAAGTATCCAAGTTCTGATACTTGTGATCAATTTCACAAAATGATAGAGAAATTAATGAAGATGTTACTTATTGAATACAAGTTAGATAGTTAAAATAGAGAAAGACATCAGAAGTTATTTATGATCATAAAATACCTATCAAACTGAAAGGGGAGTTTTATTGTACTGTAATACAACCAACTATTTTATGTAATAATAAATGTTAGACCTTAAAGGAACAACACTAGAATAAAGCAGGAGTGACAAAAATGAAAATGTTAAGGTGGATAAATGATTACATGAGAAAAAACAAAATAAGAAATGATAATATATGTAAGAATATTAAAGTAATACTTATAGTGGAAAAAATTATTGAAAACCGTATAAGGTGATTTGGTTATGTGCAAAAAAGACCTTTGGAGAAACCAGTAAAAAGAGTAAATTGTATGACTTTTAGTCTGGTAAAAAGGAATAGAGGGACAAAGAAAAAAAAATTTAGAAGAAATTATTAGAAGAGACCTTTTGATTGATCATATTAATGAAAATTTAGTAAGATAAAGTTTGGTTATTGTTATTCATGTGAATGTAGGTTTGATTTTGTTTTATTTTGTTTGTACAATATATGGGAATTCTTAGTTGTGTAACCAAATAATGTTTACTGCTGCTGTAATTTATTTTTACCTGCTGCAATATAATAAACATCTAATACCTTCATTATTGTTCTCCTTTTATAATGCATCTTTCCTTCCTGTCATTGAGTTCTCTTTATCATGTATGACAATATCAATGATTCAAGCTTTTCTGCCTTTTGTTTTGAAGCATTCAAGAGTATATATATTTTTTTACTTGTAGACTATATCCCCTTGTGCATATTCATCACTCTTTCTAGTGAGCAAATAATGGGGAAGATGGATTATATTGCAAAACGTCTGTGATGAAAAGCTGGTGTAAATCCTTGTCTATTGCTATGAGTTATGTTTGAATTAATTCTATTTTGCTTTGGTTTTTAGGTCCATAAGAGGCTACATAACTATGGGGCAGGGGCAACCTGGGGGGTGGGGTGAGTACTGTAAACAGTTAATTATACCTTAGATGACATGAATCACTTTAACCTCATTCTTGTTTGCCTGCTAGCTAATTGTTCCTCAATAGTTGGTGTATTCATGGAAGATTAACACTTTTTGTTGAAATTAGGGGTTTTACATATGAAGCCAAGAAAAAGAGTAAATATAGATGTGATATGATGTGAAGTATTACAATTATGGTGTTTTGTTCATAAAACCTGAAGTACTAACCATTATTTATACTAATCATAATCCTAACTAAATAGGGAAACAAATCATGAGATGGGGTAATATGGTAACCAATCCTAAGAGATAATGAGGAAATAGGGAAACTAATCCTAAAGGATAATTTAATATATTAAGATATGATGAGGATAATATTGGCTTTTTGCATATGTTCTAACATTTTCCACAGAACTTGTTCCAGTGTAGACCTGATTGGAATCATAACTTATTCTGCCACTTGAATGAATCAAATACTGAGTAAATTATACAATAAAGTAATTTCTTGGTAAAAAAATATTTCCTGTCTAGGAATAAATAACCACTCAAAAAGTTGTTAATTAGGTATGTAAGTTGTTACTTATTAACCAACTAGATGAGTGTATAATTTTTCCTAAACTTGAAATATTTTTATCAATAATTATTTAATGGTAATTTTCCTAATATTCTTTAGTAAATCTAGTTGTATCAATCTGATGCTAGTCATTTATAAATTTTATCATAGTTCTAGTTATAATTTTCAGAGTGATTAAATTCTTTTACTAAATTGAAGCTTAGGGCTTGTATTTAAATTGCTCCAGCTTTCTGCATTGAAGTGTTTGATTGCTGACTATTCTGTTTCTGGAAGTGCAGATTCAGCAAGAGACAGTTTCCTCCAAATTTTTGAAAAAAAGATGGAGGAAAGGCATAGACAATTAAGAGAAAGTGGTACGTATGTCATTACTTTTTCTATATTAAATTTTGCAACAAGAGTCTATAAATGATATTTCTGAGTGGTTCTCTGATGATTTGTTTGTTGTGGCTTCTGAGACTAATTGATGTGCTTCCTTTCTTTTTGGTATGCTGTTTTAAGGTCGTGAGCTAGCTGTTTCTTGGGCTCTTTGCGCTGTCTGTCTTGTTGGCCATCTCTCTCATTTCTTTGCTGCAAAGGCACCATGGATCCATGCATTTCATTCCGTTGGGTTTCATCTATCATTGTCTTTGTTTACGTTGCTTGGTCCTGGCCGCCAACTTATCATTGATGGCTTGAAAAGCCTTCTTAAAAGAGCACCAAACATGAACACCTTAGTTGGTCTTGGTGCTTTATCATCATTTACAGTCAGCTCATTTGCTACCTTGCTGCCAAATTTGGTAAAATGTCTTTATGCAATTTTTTATCTCCAACTTGTAATTTTGGACACAATTAGTTGTTGGCTACATTTAGTAATGTAAATTACCTTGAAATAATTGAAGAAACGAAGTCACTTTTCATATGTTGCTGACTGTCTTATTGTAATTTATTTAGTTATAACTGAGACAGTTATGTTGATTTTTTTTATTGCTATGTTGCTCTAGTTTGCAAGATTACTAACAGTCTATAGGTTTGTTTTGCTGGATTGGGCTAAAATAAATAGTCTCTTAGATTTTTTGTCAATTCAAAGAATCATGCGCATACATGTTTCAGCCCCAACACTTGCAAGCATGCATTTTACATGCACAAGAAGGTTGATAAAGTCGATTAAATTGATCTAACGGATTGTATTTTTGTCCTTTGCTATAAATAAACAAATAATAGCAGACTTGTTCCTCCATCATCCATATTCATGGTCATAGTTCAGTTTGATTTGGTTTGGCTTTAGCCCATACCTACATCTCAATTACATTACAATGCTATAACTTTTATTTTTCTTTTTCATTTTGGTTAAAGACAAAAGAATGGTGTGCGTGACTATGGCTGATGCTTATTTATCTACTTTAGTTGAATAATGCTCTTTTCTTGTTGTTCTCATTCAAATAAAATAATAACTGTTGAACTATCTCATAAAATCAATACTATATCATAAAATTATTTAGTGTCGAATAATATCTTGATTGTATTCTAAAAATATTTTAGGATATCTTAGAGATTATCTTCTAGGACTAGATTTCCCATTTTCCTAGTTTCTATATTTCCTACTATCACATGATTTGTTTCCTTATTTATTTGAGAATCAATAGTATTAATAAGGGTGAGTTCTTTAGGTTTTATGATCACATATACATCTCAGTTAACATTTCAGATAGTATCAGTTTTGAGATTCATTCTCTTTTATATCTCTTCCTCCATCTATACCTAAAACCCCATGATTCCATATTACATCCTCTCTAATTTGACAAACAAGAATGGGAAGAAACTGTTGGTTAGTCTTAGCTGTTCAACATGTTCTTGCATGTACATATTAACCTGACGCTAGAAAGTATGTTTGGTGAAATTATGCAATAAATATAAATTTCATTGTGTTAAATGATATTTCTTAATATTGATGCAGGGTTGGAAGGCTTTCTTTGAGGAACCAATTATGCTAATTGCATTTGTGTTGTTAGGAAGGAATCTTGAACAGAGAGCTAAAATTAAAGCAACCAGTGATATGACAGGACTTCTTAGTTTATTGCCATCAAAAGCTCGCCTTCTAGTTAACCATGGGGAAACAGAGCTTGGCTCAGTTGTTGAAGTTCCTTCTGACAGTCTCTCTGTTGGAGACCAAATTATTGTATTACCTGGAGTGAGTAATTTCAGAATCTACATAATATTACAACCCTGTAGCTCCTGCACCCTTTCTTGGTATCACAAGAAGCTTCAGCTGTGTATTCTTTCAGAAAGGCTGAGTTTTCTTAGTGTAACTTTGGGTGATAAAAGTATCCAGTCAAATATTAAAAAAGATAAATGATAATAGTGATATGCATTTTTTTCACCCCTGGGGAAAAGGGAAAGAGGGATTATCCATCTAACAAGTTTGTTTCCAAATTCCTAATAATGATGTTGGTGCTGCAAAACCATTGCCAATAGTGATTTGAACTTTTAACACATTCTTAAATTTTGACAAGTGATATGCATAAATAGTTGCCAAAGTTACTCTGCTATTCCTTTTAACATATATATATATATATATATATATATATATATATATATATATATATTCTATTTTCCAGGACCGCATCCCAGCTGATGGAGTTGTGAGAGCTGGTAGAAGCACTGTAGATGAATCAAGTTTCACTGGGGAGCCACTGCCAGTAACAAAAGTACCTGGGGTACATTCTATCTTATATTTTAGTATAATCTGAAATTTATTTAACTTTTGACATAACTTGTAGGTTTTATTGGTTCCTTTCGAACTTCAAATGCTGTGATCATTGGTTATAAGTTCATCAGTGCCTTGTGTGCAATTTATTGACAAAAATGGAAAATCATTTGATTGCATCTTAACTGATGATGGGCTCACTTCCTATATGATTGATTGACCCCTTCAGATTTGTGTATTTGTGGCAGTACTACTGGACACTGGACAATTGATTTTAGTAACTGCTTGATGGGTTTTATTTCTGCAGAGTGAGGTTGCAGCTGGAAGTATAAATCTTAATGGAACTCTTACAATGGAAGTGCAGAGACCAGGTGGTGAAACAGCTATGGCAGACATTGTTCGTCTAGTTGAAGAGGCACAGAGTAGGGAAGCTCCTGTACAGAGATTGGCTGACAAGGTTCTTTTACTGAATCTCATTAATTTTACAGCTAGTTTTGTTCTGTTTCTACGTCAGGAGATTCTGCTGCAAAATAGGACTGTGAACTGGGTGTAATGTCATTCATTATAGGGTTTAGGAATTGTTTTCCTTGACTTTTCTTCTAATACTCTCTTGTTTAAATATTATTTTGATGATGGCTATGTATTTGGTTCTGGACTGGGAGGACTACTGAAGAGGTGACAGACCTTTTAAATTGCCTTATTTGGCTTTAACTTGCATGATGTATCCATTTTTTTGATTGGGAGATTGCTAATCTCAATCTTTTGAATATGATCATTTGAAAGTTTAAGATGCTAAGAATTGGCTCCACCAATATTCTGTGCCAAGCCAAGTTATAACGACCAGATCTAAAAAGTTGAGCTTGTGAAGCTATATCACTAGAATGGATTTTCAAACTGTGACATTCTTCTTTGTCAAACTCTTGATCACTGCACCCCTGAAACTCTAGTAATGGTACATAGTTTGGCTTCTGGTCATCTCTGGCTCCTTTACTAGGGGATTTTTTTTTTAATGTTGTCATCTATATTTTAGGAGTTACAAATTTTCTTGGGAATCTAGATAAGGTCCTATAAATTTCAAGACTCCTTCAAGGTCAAGGCTTTTGGTACTACAAAAATGATACTAAAGTAATGATTTTTCTTCTAATGGGTGAAATACCCATTCAGTGGTTAAAGTAATGCACGCTACCCCTAGAAATTCATTTCTCAAGGTTATGCTTATTTTAGATCTCTTGTTTCCTTGGGTTTGGGTGATGGTTTCCATATTAAATTTTGGGAAACCCTTGTGTAAACGTTCCTCTTTCTGATGTATTTCCTAGACTTCTTCATCTTTCTAATTTGCACAATGTTCCTATATTTCAGTTTGGCTCCTCATTTAACTCTACAGTTTCTTGGAATTTTCATTTCTTCAAAAATTTGCATGATAGGGAGCTCTTTGAATTACAATCTCTTTTGATCTTGTTGAGTTTAGGGTTTAGGGTTTAGACAAGAGGATTAGACATCTTACTCATTTTTATTTTCTTGTAAATCTCACTTCCAATTTTTCACTTCTTTTCCTAGCAATGATTTTGTCCTATTAGATAAGCCAATTTGGAAATCAATCAATTGGTCCCTCAAAGGTTAAGTCTTTAAATTGGACTTTCGTTTTCAACTGTATTGAATCTATTGATGCCAATGTTTGATTGTAGATTGGAAGACCTTTGGCTGCTTTATCTCCTAATTATCGTGTTATGTGAAGATTAAGTTCTGAAAATGTTTCTCATTTGTTTTTACACTGCTCAACAGTTTCGTTGGAATAATTTGTTTCGTGTTGTTGAAGATTGGGTTTCCACCTAATGACATAAGACTTTAGTGTTGTTGTTGAAGATTGAGTCTGCCTCAAGGATCTCCAGAAATTCTTGTAGGTTAATTTTAGGGGTTTTGGCACCAAATAAGGCTAAAAGGCTTTGGTGTTCTCAATTTGAAATTGTTTGGTGTATATAGTTGGAGAAAAATGCTAGAATTTTCTCTGGTTGTGTGATCCCTTTGGAGTTCATCTGGGATAGAGCTGTTCACCTAGCTTCTCTGTGGTGATCTGCTAAAGGTTTTTTCAAAGGGTGTCTTTGGTTGATCTTTAAAGAGACTAGCGTGTAGTGCTACAAGTTTCATGCTCTTAGTCTATTTGTTTTTCTCCTTTTCATGGTTTAGTTTTTTAGGATACCTTATCCTCTTGCTTTGTTTCTCTCTTTTCTTTCTGAATAAATTCTTTGTTAATTCAAGGGAGGATTACTTAAGTCTTATGAGGAATATTTTAACTATGTTCTTAACCAATAAAAACATTAAAATTTTCCTACACCAAAATTAGACATTTGAAGCATAAAGCTTGCAAGATTAGATATATGGTGGTAACCCAATACCAGGACTAGATAGGCTCTAATATCATATTATGAACCATTTATTCCAAAAGCTTAAGCAATTAAGTGAAGGTACATGAATATTACATCTTTGATACACCCCATGAAATAGGGGGTCTATTGGGCTTGAAGAATGGATAATGCATTGGCTCACCTACCTTATGCTGAAATTCATCTTTTTATTAGAAAAATGGGAACAGCAAGGATTGAACTCTAGTATACTTGATCAAACTGACTCTAATACCACATTAGAACTAGACTTAGCTTGACTCATTTTCAAAAACTAGTTCAAACTTCAAAGGCGGAAGATTGCCTAGTCTTATAAGGAATACTTTGGTCATATTCCTATTTGATGTAGGACATATGAACACAGCATACTAATATAGTATAGGTAGGAAGATAACATTAAGTTTTCTCCATGGATCTCTATATATCTGCAACCAAATCTATTTGTTGATTGTTTCATCTGACCTTTTTTGGCTAAAGCACATGGTTCCTTAGGCATTAAAGAACCATGTGCCTTCTATTGGAGCAATGGCAAGCATTGTTGTCCTGATATCCTTCATTGTGGTTAAATTATTCTTATTCCTTTTATTTCTTTTTTCCACTGCATTACTGCACTGAGTTACTCTAACGTACATCTTTTACTAAACTGAATAACATCATTTTATGTACCTAGGTTGCTGGACACTTTACTTATGGAGTGATGGTAGTTTCTGCTGCCACATTCACTTTCTGGACTCTCTATGGCACACATGTTTTACCTGCTGCTTTATATCAGGGAAGTGCAGTTTCACTAGCTTTGCAGCTTGCTTGCAGTGTTCTGGTATGTTTTCAAATGCCTTCCATGGACCATATGTATCCCATCGCTGGGTCAAACACTGTTAGTCCAAGTAACTAACGCTTCTTATATTGGACTTTGGAAGGCAAAGTTAATTTTGATTTTTGATACACAGCCCTGCTTCTCTTTCTTATTTTCCTTAATAAAATGGAGAAAATAATAAGCCTATTTTGAGCCTTCAATTTTCAGATATTGCTTAAATGAAAGTTCTTATAACCATTCTAGTGGTAATCCTTGTTTTACGATGCAGGTTGTTGCTTGTCCATGTGCACTTGGGTTAGCCACACCTACTGCTGTGCTGGTAACATCTTCATAGAGACCACATCTATCGCTACTGTAAATATCATTGTGTTTGAACTAAGCTTTGTACAATTTTTTGTGATAAAAAGGTTGGAACTTCTTTGGGGGCTAAAAAAGGATTACTTTTGCGTGGTGGAAACATACTAGAGAAGTTTGCCATGGTTAACACTGTTGTCTTTGACAAAACAGGGACCCTCACAGTTGGTAGACCTGTTGTGACAAACATTATCACTCCTACATGCATAGGACATGCAATTTCAAGGTAGTGTAGGAAAAGGAATTTCTGTTTGTTTATCACAATCACTTCATTTGGAAAGATTCCTTTCTAAGCATGTAAAGTTTGTCTAATTTTTCATCTGTTTAAGACTATATCCATTTTGCTGTCAATATAAAATCAACTTTACATGTTTAATTTGATTATGAATAATGATGAGAGAAGCCATTTGTATGTTGTTAATACATGATAATAAGTTAAAAGAAGAAAACCTTCCGTTCTATTACCTTGGTATACCGAATTGTAGAAATATGGTAGCTAAATGTGGTATCTAAAAATGCATCTGACTGGGACACTCATCATATTAAAGCATTGCTTGTCTTGTAGTTATCTAGCACAATTTTTAATGTTTGATAAGCACTTTACAGTCACAAACTATGCCTAAATATTTTGGAGCAGAATTCTTATTTTTATTATCAGAGAAAAGGTGTTGTTATGAAGTACTTCAAATTTCTATCTTTTGTGTGTATATTCATGGAAGCAAATGAATTTTTTTATTTTTCAATGTCCTGTGCATGCTTTTTATGAATGATATAGTCCTAGTTGGAGTGTTGAGAGAGGAAATAAATGGGAAGTTAGAGATTGGAAACAAGTTTTGGAAACCCATTGTTTTCATTTATGTAGAAGTAAGACAGTCTATCAAATATAAGTTTAGCAAGAGACACATCAATCCCAGCTTAAAGGTGAAAATTGGAGACCATACCTTGCCCACAAGTCACGTGGTTTAAGTATCTTGAATCCGGCATACAAAATGAAAGAGAATTAGAAAGGAATGCAAACCATAGGATTCAAACAAGGTGGATGAAACAGAGGAGTGTTTGGAGTGCTTTTTGTCAGAAAAAGGTATTACTCAGTCTTATGGGTAAATTTTACCACACATCTACAAGACCTGCAATGTTGTGTGGAACTAAGTGTTGAGTGGTAAAAGTCCAACAAGAGAATAAAATCAATATAGTAGAGATGAGAATGTTACAATGGATGAGTAGGCATACTGAACAAGATAGGATTAGGAATGAAGGCATAAGAAAGAAAGTTGGGATAGCCCATATTGTTAAGAGACGGTAGAATCTCACCTTAGGTTGTTTGGGTATGAGTTAAGAAGATTACTACTTTTACTAGAAGCCCTAGTTAGTAGAGTAAATCAGATGGAGAGTTGTCCTATTGCTAGAGGTAGAGGGAAATCAAGATAGGCAGAGCCATTAGGAAGAATTTAGAGTTAATGGTTTGTCCATAGACATTATTCACAAAAGAACATTAGAGTGTCATTTAATTCATGTAGTAAACTCTACCTAGTGAGAGAAGACTTTGTTATTGTTGTTTAGTATTTTTAAGAGTATAAGCATTATGAAAGTCTAAATAAAATTGTCCTATCTTTGTACTTTTCTTTCCCATTGATTTTTTGTTTTATTAAAAAAATCTTTAAGAAAAGAAATGTGAAGGTCTTTTGTGAAACATAAATATAGTTGTGAGAAATCCTATCACTAGGTTAAGGTTTGTGCTCTGAATTTATACAATTTCTTTTGTTTCAGTTATGCAACTAAAAGGTGATATAACATTGCCTTCTTAATGCAGCCAAACAAAAGAAAATGCTTTGTCTGATGTTGAAGTTCTAAGGTTAGCAGCTGGGGTAGAATCAAACTCAGTACATCCAGTTGGGAAAGCAATTGTGGATGCGGCTCAGGCTGCTAATTGTCATAATGCTAAGGTTCTCATTTTATTTCTTGTTAATGTTTGTCTTGGAGTCTCAGCAAGACAGATGCCATGGAACAAATACATGTCATGTAGCGCATGCATTGATGGCACTAATAACAAATACTATTCATTGCACATGTATTGTACAAGACAACTAGAATATAAGACTAAACTATCATTCTGGTGTTTAAGATAGTAAGCGTCAAACTTTTTAATTTTAAAAATTTTAAAAATGTCATGTTAATTTTTCATTTTCATCTTTGTTGGATATTTTAGTCCTTAGATCCAGACACTATTAATAGACAGTAACAAATATTCAATCTATAGAAGATATGTCCTAAATATTCAACCTGTCCTCTTTTGAAACAACATTTTCCTTTGTTGGCCACAAATTGATGCCCTTCTAGTACTTGTAGAACATAGTTCAAATGGCAGATATGTGAGGACCAATCTTAGCTGTATACCAGAATGTCATCAAAGAACATTGTTAGGAAATTTTCTATTATTAAGGTATAAAGGAGAAGAGATAAAAGGCTAAAGGGGATAAGATAAAAGCCTTGAGTCAGCCTGTTAGGGATATTCATAATAATAATTGTAACAAAATCAGTTATTTTGTATCTGAATCTAGGCAACAGGGGAGGGGAATAGTATTATAAATAAGAAGGTAAAAAGTAGAAGAGGGGGAAAAAAAGAAATCCTTAGACATGTCAGGGAGAGAGTAGCCTCTCGAAGTGCCATCATTATATTCTGGCGCATTTGTACGTTTTTTACATTAAGACTAAACAGAGATTCCTAAATAATACGAGTGTCTATTCAATCTTTAGCCTATTTGATACCAGTATCTAACAAACATTAACACAAATTTTCACAAATATGAACAAAAAATCATGTTCTTTTTTTTTCTTTCACCCACTGATCCGATATGGACCACTACATACCAAATATTTGTTGCACTACTCACCAGGCTATAGAGAGGAACCTGAACTCCTTCCAATTTCCTCAGTTTTCCACTCTTCATGGACTTGACTCTCTTAAGTTCAATCATATTTTCCTTCCACATAAACTGCATAGTCATATCTCTCCAATCCATTATCGTTGTCCCATGGTCTTACCCCAAGATAACATCTAACCCACCAAAGTCCAACACATGCGTATCTAAAGTCATCTCATTGCTAGCTAGCTGTAAAGGAATCTGAGAATAGAACCCTCTAATACATATTACATGACCATCTCCTAGCCTAACCTTGAATTTGGGCTCTTCACTCACTTTCAAGCCTAAAAAAAGGACCACTCGGGGAGCCACAAAATTTTCACTTGCTCCACTATCCACAAGGAGAACCACATGCACCCCCATTAACAGCGCATGTAACTTCATGGCTTTGGTCCAATTTGGACTTCCACCTGTGAGACCCAACAAGCCCATACCCCCTGCATTCAAACTCTCTCCCTTCTTCCTTAGACTCATCTTCTACTGTGGTGGGTGCCAAGGCTTCATCTTCCTCGCTCTTCTCATCCTTTGCCATAACTATCAAACACAAAGAACTACCGCTACACTAATGCCTAGGGCCGAACCTTTCTCCACACTTAAAACATAAACTCAACTGTTGACGTTCCATCATCTCATCATGGGCAAGATGCTTCACGCCTCTGCTACGACTTCCCCCATCGTTCCTCGTGATGCCTGACTGCACCGTTGTCACCGCACTAGAATACGGACCTAGGGTTGGAGCATTAAACCCTTGATTAACTGAGTTTTCCCCTACGCGCCTAAATTCTTGTTGAACAGAGATGGAAAAACTCCTTCTTAGACATCCTGAACCCAATGTTTGCCCAACATAACTCCTATCCCATAATAGGGATGTCTCACCCCTTTTAGCAATCTCGGCCTCAATACCCTTTGCCAAACGCATTGCATGTCGTCTAGTTACAGGGTCTAGAGTTTGTACCCTCAATCTGATTTCTTCTTTCAACCCTCCAACAAATTACCCAAGGTACTGAGTTTCAGGCAACCTTGGAACCTGAGAGGCTAGAGCTTCAAACGATCACTCCCAAACCTAATGATCTAGGCCTGTTTCATATTATACTAAGTAGGTTCCTCCTCCTCATGCCACAAATTGAACCAACCTATAGTGGTTCCCTCCATACAAATCTTGGCCAACTTCACTATGGCCTGACTTGTTCCATGCACTTCAAAACAAGTCTCTGCTCTACAAATCCATCTTGCAGAATAAACACCATTGAAGGCGGGAAGTTCCACCTTCTTGGTGGAATAATGAAACTCAACATCAATGTTTCCTCCCCCTGCATTCTCGTCATTCACATTTACAATTCTTTGTCCACCCGACTCCATATATGACTGGTCTTCCATCACCTTAGCAACACTCATCTTCTATATCTCCTTCAACAATTCTTGCTGCGTAACATTCATCACCCTTATTAAATTAGACAACATTTTTTGCGGAACTTCGATGTTCTGAATCCTAGATTCAAGAATCTCTTTCCTCTCGTTTATCCTTGTTGACAGGGGGAATTGATCTGTGTTAGGGTTTTGAGAAGTAAAATCAAGAAAAAGACTAAAGAGTATTGACAACTTTATTGATCACTTTAGAGAGAATTAGGATTACAAGAACTCCCCAAAGCTGTCAGCTCCTGAACAGAGAATGAATTCTCCCTAACACCATTTACAGAAAAGAAAAGCTTGCCTTAATCCAGAATCTAACTCTATTTATAGGATCTATTAACTAGATTAACAACTAACTAGCAGTTTACTTTTTCCTACCCTTCCTCCTGATATAAACCTTCCACACTTTAAGTCTCTTATTAGTATTAATCATATGTTCTTCTGCCATGGTTCTAACATAGGCTAACAAAACTTACTTATCATATAATCTAATAAATAACAAAATGACCTTATCACAACTAACTTATAAATCTAATTTTGTTCCATATTACTCCCTGTTGATATGAATATTATATGATCTGTTTAGCAATTGAGTTGCTATCCTTTTCTAGAAGACACGTCAATCGGTACTACACCATTTTTCTGACTAACGAGCTTGGTATTATAGAACCTATTGGTTGTTACATGTGCATTTTATAATTTAAGTGTTTTTGCTTGACTTGAAATTGGTGAAGATACAGCTATCAGCTTATGCCTTACAGTAAAATTTGCAGGTAACAGATGGAACATTCCTTGAAGAACCCGGATCTGGTGCAGTGGCAACCATTGATAATAAAAAGGTTTCTGTTGGGACATTGGAATGGATTACTAGGTACTTGGTAATTTGGTTCTTTTATCGATGTCCAAAGATACACAAAGTAGTATGTTCCTTAAATTTTTTAATATTTCTTATTAATTTATTGTAAAGAAGATATTTCTTTCAAATGATTGCAGCATACAGCTGTTTACTTGCTTTAGACCTTGTCCATTTCACTAAGCAGAGTGGTATCTTTCATTGTATTCTGTTGAGAGAGAAGAGATTGAGAGACAAAGTGAAATCTGTCTTTGATACACAGCAGAGAGCTTTATTTATAATGGTAAAGTAATTATTACAAAATAATTATAAAATATACGGTTACCTAATTACCATATCTACAAAGACACTGATTTCCCTAATTAACATATTTACATATTACCATATTCTAACAAACATATTTATTGCTTTCTTGTAGAAATTTTACTTCTTGTTTTGTTATAAATTTCAAAACTTTAGCAGATAATTCCTTTTGTGCAGGCATGGAGTTGTTGACAGTATACATCAAAAAGTGGAGAAGTGTAATAACCAATCCTTTGTCTATGTTGGAGTTAATGATACTTTAGCTGGCCTAATTTATTTTGAAGATGAAATAAGGGAAGATGCAAGAGATGTTGTTAGCACACTGTCTAAGCAAAATATCAGTGTATACATGCTATCTGGAGATAAGAGGAACGCGGCAGAGCATGTTGCTTCTCTAGTTGGAATTCCAAAAGAGAAGGTAAAATGTTTTCAACATTAGATTAAATCTTTCTAAATATAAGTCACTTGTATGGCTGGGAATTTGGTGCCGTACTAAATGTTTAGATGACTGTTATAAACAACAATCTACATATGGGTCCAGTTTGGGCAAACTTCTCAATAATTACTTATAGAAGACAAATATAAGGAAGTAAAATAAATCAAAATTTTCTTACAAGTTAATATCAACTAATGTTCTTTTACGTTTTCAGAAGTCTTTTTATTTAACTTCTCCAAAACAAAAGATATACAAGTTAATTTCAACTTATGACAGAATTTTTATTCATATTATTTCTTTATCTTATAAGTATTTATCTAGAAGTTTTCAATCATCAATTGTGTGATTAGTCAGAATTTTTACGTGTTCACTTTTGATGATAAGACGGAAGGGGGGAGCTAGAAAGTACAAACTCTGTTCATAACTCACCCATGCTTAAAAATTCATTAAGTTTCATATTTTGTTCACCAGAAGCTTGCAAATATTTATAGTAGCACCATTTGAGTTAAATTTACTATATGACACCCTGTTTGTGTGTGTGACTGATGTTTTAGTAATTTATGCACACCTGGTGGCATATCAGTCTTTTGCTGGCTATTTGGGTTTTAGGTTATGCTTGTTAATTATGTTTTAATACATAGAAAATAAATTTGGTTACTCAATGACTTACATATGTTGCCAAAAGTAGGTGCTATCTGGAGTGAAACCAGATGAGAAAAAGAAGTTCATAAATGAACTAAAGAAAGATAAGAACATTGTAGCTATGGTTGGTGATGGAATTAATGATGCAGCTGCCCTGGCTTCTTCACATATTGGTATTGCATTAGGTGGAGGTGTTGGGGCTGCTGGTGAGGTGTCTTCTATTGTATTGATGCGCAACCAGCTCTCACAGGTCATTGTTATTTGCCTTAATTCTTTTTTCTTCTAATGTACTTAAAACATTTTTATATTTCTCAAAAACTTCCTTGCTTCTATTTAATTCAATTTGTTGTGGCATTATGTTATTTGACTTCATGCATTAATCATAAAATTATGGTTATAAGAAATCTAGTGTGTGAGAAAAATGTAAGATACTGCTATGAGAATAAAATCATGGAAATTTGGAACCCTGACTCTTCCTACAATCCTCAACCAAAACTGAAAAACTCTAACATAGTCCTCCCTATTTATTTCCTTCTAACCTTTGTAACTCGTACTTGTCGATGAATTCCCCTTCCCCTGTCAATAACATAATTGGGCCTTCTCTAATTTGGCCCCCTTACTCCTACTAAAGAGTTCATTAGTTGGGGACCTAAGAGGAAAATCCTTTCCTCAACATTCAAAGGTTGGGATGGATTGTCATGTTTCTTTTTGCAATTTGTTCCTTCATATTCTCAATCTCAATTTCGAAATCTTAATTTTTTATAACATAAAATTTTATTCAGAATATGAAAGATATGATGTTGTTAATGACACATCTCGCTTGTATTATGTCTCGGTCAAATTATGAATCAACTCAAATGCAATGTAAGCAAATAATGAAGCATGTTAAAAAATCATTAACAGAGGGACCCAATGGAAATGGAAAATAATTTTTGAGAGAATAGATTGAGAAAAATTAAAAAGGAAGGACCAAATAAGAAATTGTGAACGTTGGAGGACTAAAGCTTTGTTTAAACCCTTCTCAATTCTCATAGACCAGACAATCAGAACCTCAATCCATGTGTAGGTTATCCACTTTCATTACGCCCACTTTTGCTTATTTGAAAAAGAGTTTGTAAATTTTAATAATTTAAACTCAAAAATTATAAATACATGATATGAAAATATGAATTTGTTGTAATGCATATGCTGTTGTGTTTGATTGGGAAGGAACCATCATAATTTTTAAGGAGGTTTCTTTGGCACGCAATTTTATTTGGGATATGATTGAGTATTTGGCATCTTTTTGGTCCAAAGTGCCTTTTTTTATTGGGTTTTGGTAATATGTGTCAAGGGAAATGGAAGCTTTGTGTTCCATTGATTTTCTCAATTTTCTTAGTAGTTTTCTGTTTTGTTCTTTTGGTCAAGAGGATTCCTTAATTACTGTCTTTACAAACAATAACAACAACCAAGCCTTATTTGCTGCCCTTCCCTTTGTAGTTTTCCTTCTTGTCTTAATAAATTTCTTTTATTTAAAATAAAATTAAACACCATTTAAAATTAATTTCAATATTGTGCAATCACATTGCCCCATTCTCAATATTTTTGGTCAAGCTCCTCTAGGAATACAACATGCATGAAATACATCTAAGTCGTTTCTGATCACCTTATCTCTTTAACTTATTTTTGGGTCTCTCCTATTTCTGTTTAAGAAAACGGCTGTATGTTTATCTATAATCCACAAATGCACAAAATAATATAGCAACCTCTATATTTCATAGTTGATGTTCTGTAGAAGTCTATCTTTCTATTTTTCCAATCACTGGTATACTAACCAGTAACAATTCATTTTTTAGACTTGGAAGCAGCCCTTCTGATTGGTTGTGTAGAGAACCCCTTAACTAAGCTTTTAGTGACTTTTGCAAGTTTAGATGACAACTTCCTTGGAACATTAATCCAGTTTTATTTTTCATATATGTATCTTCTCAGTAAATCTCTTACTGGTGATGTGGGTCATCGAACTACTATTCTTTTTTTTTCTTGATTTTGTTTTTCAAACAATGGAAAATGCCATGGAGAAAGGGTCAGGAAGAGCAGCATAAGAAAAGAGATGCTTTAGTGTTTGAAAATTATTGTATTATGTGAACCCAGAGTACTTTTTGGATGTTGATTAAATAAGGAAATGTATATTAGATAATTACTCTGCTTATTTCATTGCAGCTACTTGATGGCTTGGAGCTTAGCAGGCTGACCATGAATACTGTAAAACAAAATCTCTGGTGGGCTTTCATATATAACATTGTAAGTTCTGTTGTTCAACTATAGAAATTGATCAGTGTGGTTTCTGGGATCTAGATCCACTCTAGTTTTCGCATGAATTGGACAGTCCCGTTCCATTTGTGCTTAAGTAAAAAAGAAAATTTTTTAAAAAATTTGTGAGAGAAGGAGAACAAGAGAGGAGGAGAGGGGTTGGGGGAGGGGACTTGGGAGAGGAGAGGGGCAGGGCTGTGGGAGGGGGAGGGGGAGGTGAGACGGTGGGAGGAGGGGGGACAGGAAGGGGAGCTGCGGGAGGAGGTGGAGGAGTGGGAGTGAAAGGGGAAGGGGAATTTGTTTGAAAATTTTCCATTTTTCATTTTCCGAGGTTTCAGGGGTTTATATAGCCAAGAATTTTCCATGTGCTTGATTCATTGCCATTTTGATTCAATAACATTTTGATAAAAGTTGATTTTGTTTCTCCCAGCAAAATTACTTTTGAAATCGGTAAAATGTTCTCAGCATTTTCTATTATGATGATCAGTAAAAGAACCTTCCAGATGAAGGAATACAGTACTCCATCTCAGAACGCGGAATACAATCAACATCAAAGTTAATTTCATTTGAGTACAACAATAGCAACTAACATCCAATACAATCATATTACTGCTAAAAAAATGTTATCCTGCAAATTCCACTATTAGTCATAGTCACTCTTCCCTTTGCCTGCTTGGGTTCATTGCACATTTTCTTGTGAGCATGCACCTAAATAACCGTATAAACATGCTATTTTTGAAGTTGACATTTCAAGCAGAATAGAATTCTCATCTTGTTATTTTCTTTCTCTAGTCTGATGAATAACAAGGTTTTTGTGTAAGTGAGAGGGAGGAATAAAATAAACAACTACCAAGTATAAGTAGCAATTTGGGGAAATGCAAATTCAGTTTTCTTCTTTATGTATCTATTGTTGGGCTTCTGTGTATTTATTTTGTCAATTCTAATATTAACATTTTTTCTTCTGTTCTTTTTTATGGATCTTGAACCTTCTTTTACATTGGATGCTAGAAGTTAATATTACTGAAAAATATCCACGGCAGTTAGGCATAACTTAGGTTGGCTTTCCACTGCCAACAGGGGGCTGATTTTGTAGGGAACTTGAGTTTCATCTTACGGGCTAGTTCATTTTTCTCGTTTCAAATCCAGCTTAATTTAGGACAGTTTTTCTCTGTGTTTCAATGTTTCTATTCTTATTTATGATTTTGTAATTATCTGAAAAAAATACTTTTTTATTGACTGTTATGGTGTAATTATACTTCTTATCTTTATACAGGTAGGAATTCCAATTGCAGCTGGAGTGTTATTTCCCATAAATGGGACCATGCTGACTCCATCAATTGCAGGGGCTCTCATGGGGCTGAGTTCCATTGGCGTAATGACTAACTCATTACTTTTGAGATTCAAATTTTCCTCAAAGCAGAAACAAATACATGGCATGTTGCCAAAAACCAAAGTCCATGCGCATTCTGATCTGGCACAACAAAATCAGAATATAAAACACCCTTATTAGATGTTAGATGCTGGTACACAATAACACAACGCAAATGAGGTTCCCGTCCTGAAGTCAAGTCAGGTCTCTAGCATGATAGAAGTATACACTTCTTAGTTTGACCTTGTGGTGATTATCCATGGATGAAAAGAAATCGGTACTGACAGAGAAAACGGATGTATATAATTGGAAGAATCACACCATCAATGAAAGAAGCTAATCAAGTAATTGATGTGATGGGAAAGAATAAATTATATTGATGGAGGATACTTCTCTTCGATTCTCAAAAGTTTCTCAGGGAGCTCTCTAGTTGTCTTCTTTCTTTAATCACAAGCTTTTTTCTATGGCAACTTTCCGCTCGTGACAGGTCCATTTTTCCTTTGGTCTTCTCTTGTCTATAAATTTGAGTTAAAGTCTTCATTCATGTCTTATTTGGTCTACGTAGTTCATGAATCTTGGAATTTGAATAACTTTAAGTTGCGCTAAAATCTGTTTATATTCTGTATTAAAATGTCTAGGCAAAATGCATCTTGAATACCCCTATAATTTCAAATAAAACTGTGTATAGAGAGGGAAGAGGGGGATAATCTATTCCCCAGGAATATATAAATTTTAAACTTTTTAATACTTTCAAACTCACTAAGTTTTGGTTCCCTTGTATCTTTCAAATCGCCAACTAGGAAATAGATGTCAAGGAAAGTTTGCATATCGATTATAATGTTTCAAAACCCACGGGACAGGCACAGCAATGAAATCTTGATCTCATTCAAGGTTTAATAACTAAAATGCCTCGCATTAGGAGATTGGGCAACAATTAATGCGAACTAAAGAAATTTATCCTAAGAAAGGTAGTTGTACAAAACTCGATGTTCATCACATTGAAGTGGAATTTGGCACATCCACAAAGTGTACATAACGATCTACAGTGTTTTCTTTTCCCTCTTAATGAAAATTCTACATATATCTGTTTCTTTCTGCTCAAAGCCATTCCAATTTCGTATATCCACATAATGAACGTCGGAACAATGTCCAGATCATGAGCTGGAAGATATTTAACAATTTGAGGACCCAAAAGAAGTGATGATCAAGCAAAGAGCATTTGTAGGTTGAGATATTTCCAAGACCCTCGCACAGCTACTAAACTATGATTCCAAATTTTCTGACAATTGTTTTATTTGGGTTGGAAAATTGATGATCAAACCATGTACGTCATGCCAACTTGCATCAGTTGGGAATGAGGTACACTTAAATTTGTGATTCCCCTTCTGCAGTTCTTTCTCAGACAGGCATAAAAATAGTTTATAATTAGCTTCTTGATAAACCAAGAGTCTTTTCTTGCCCTTATATCCCCATGACCAAGAAGATAAACAACTCCAGATTCTTTAGCCTTGCGTATAAAAGATAACTCTCTTTCAAGACTCTGCTCTGCATCAACCACTGGGGGTTTTGGAGACGCTGGACTCGCCTCCTCAGATGTGCTTGCTTCAAAATCGGGCTTGCTAGTATCATTAATTTCAGCCAGAAGAGGAACACAAAGTGAATAAACACTCCCATTGGGAGCTATGAGAACCCTAGAACCAGAGTACTCATCCTCTGAGTCGGTATCATCATCCCCCTCACTCTCAAGTGACCTCTCCTGAGCCTCACGACGTATAAACTTCTCTAGGCTCTCCATCAGCAGTTGCTCAAAAGTTTGGTGATTTTCTTTGCGAACATCTTTGTAACCATACCTGTAGAGAAATAAATAAACGTTTAGATCAGATTTACAAGATTGAAAATAAAAATTAATTACGAAGACAATATATATTATTATTGTCAAAATTACAAAAAGGATTAGTAAAAAAATATCCATTTTATGGCCATGTCAAAAGAGTGGCCAAGGAGCAACAATTTATCGACTCAACTAACCACTTATTAATTGTTCCTGAACTACAATATTTTTACCAAAAACCCCATCTTTGTAAATTTTACTTCAATTATTTCACCAAATTATTCCATCGAAAGATGTTCGTGTAAAGTTATAGCACGTTTCCAAAAGTAATACGCCTTATTTTTCATAACTCGTTCAGCTTTTCCAAAGTTCACACACCACTGATCTAATAAAGGTACACAATACACTAATATTCCAAGATGCAAGGAATTTAGCTTGTTACCTGGCAATACAACGAAATATATGATAGCTTCTAGCGCAAACTCGCCCAAAAAGGAACCTTTCACTTTGAGGCACCATGGAAACTGGAACATACTTAATACTCACAAATATGATCATGGAGTGAATTGCTGGAAGTGTGGTTAGAAAATGGCCAAAAATGCCAGGAATTCCTTTAACCAACTCATTATAGAGCAAACCAATCCCAGGAGCTCGTATTGTCCCAAGATTGCAGCCTAATTCTCGCATTAAATCCATTGACAGCTTTTGCTTTACTTCAGTTTCATACTTGAGCTTGCTTCCATAATTCCATACAAACATTATAAAAAACATTATTACGGCAAAGACTAATATAATCCAGCTTCCATCTGTTACACTCCACAAAACTGATGAAAAGAAAGTCAACTCCAATCCCAAAAAGACTACCACGAAACTTAGCACTATGATGATGTGTATCTGCCATATAAGCAGCATTACAAGAGTTACTAAAATAGTGGTCATCATCATCACCCCCAGCTCAGCAATGCCTGAAAGATGACAAAGGAACAATCTGAAAACAAAAACGTTTTGTATATTATTTTATATAATAGAATACGATAATAATGAAGGGAAGTTCAGTGCATGACCAAAGAAAGCTTGACTCCCTTCTCCTATATAAGCTTGCAGAATCATATTATTATTGATCTTTTCATTTTACAAATTTAAAGTTCAAGGTGAAAGTTTTTCCCTGAATTAGACAGCAATGTTTTTGGCCAATGAGGATTGTTTCAATTCAACCACTAAGATCAAGTAGCATCCACAAAAGGTCTTGGGTTTTGCTTCCTATATTAGGTAAGCCCTTACTGAAGCTCATGACATGTCCTAACCATGGAACAGGGTAACCTCATCTCCCTAACTATTAAATACCAAAAGAAAGGGAGCGATGTGTGATCACATCCATTTGGAACAAAATGATAGCCACCACCTCTTAGAAGTGTTGTGGATGTAATGTAAGCATAAACATCTACAGTTATACAGAATGTCATTTTTCTGAAAATAGAGGCAGTGTTTGAAAATCTGCATAATGATGGTACTCCTATGCACTTAAGATTTCTTAAAGTAAATTATCTCCTCTTAAATAAGGCCTCACCTCCATTCTTACTAATCTTCTACAGGATATCCAAGAGAGATTATATGAGAGAAGCTCATTGTCTTTCCAAGTAATTACAGTATTTATAAGCTTGTCATGCAACATATTATATATATATAGTTTGATCCCATTGAAAATGTGACATTCTTTACAATTTGACACGTGATAGGTGATAGGTGATAGGTGATAGGTGCATGTAGCTAATAAATTTTGACAAAAATATCGTGGAGTTAAGACCAAAGAGATTGAAACAAAATCATTACCATATGCATTTCCTATCTCATCAATGCTGGATATAGAGCAGACAAACACCAAAGAAACAGCCAAGAGAAACCAGTTTATAACCGGGATATAGATCTGGCCCATAAATTTCCGAGAGGTATGAAATATTTTAAGACGAGGGAAACAACCAAGTGCTGTTGACTGTTTTATACACGAAAATGTGGCTGTTGTCATAGCCCGACTTGCAATTAATGCAGCAACGTTAGCAATGAGGAAAGTTGGCCAGAACGCCCCACCTGCAGACACAAATAGTATTATAATGCCAAGGTTCTGTAAAGTGCAAAGATATGTCACTGAAAACAATGATCATTGCTAATGCAGAATTAAATATATGCTAACACTTACTTGGAACAGAAGAATAAAAGGCTTGACCAGCATCAGCATGGTTTTCCATGAGGTATGCAGCTTGACCCAAATAACCCAACAGTAGGCACGGTAAAACAAGAAATACAAATGTAAGCTACAAACAAACCACCGTCAGTTTCATCAATATACTAGCTTATAAGATAAGGCAGTAAAAGAAACCAAGACAGAAGCAGTGATGGTTATAACATAGACAAGATTCATTACCTGAACTGATCGTACAGAGAAATAGCAAAGATCTGCAAACATGGCCTCAGAGCCTGTAACATGATCCAGTAACAATGTTAATTAACAGTTGAAGAAATCTTGTGCATGCCAGCAATACCTTAATGCAAATTCCATATTCACCACATTACAATATCAAGTGATTGTGGGGTTGGGATTTAGCAGGATATCTAATGATGGATGGTATGAAATGGAATAAAAGTATCATACCATTATTTTGAGTATTTTATGATGAAATGGAATAGTTTCCAATCCATCCAATTGTTTGGGTAGAAAATGGTACGATAAAAGATATTTGCAAATGATAATTCGGTTCCATCCTTTATCCCCAAAATACAATACTTGAAGTGGGAGAAAGACTGAGAAATTTGGAGGAAAGGTTACTGAATCCACTCAAGTAGCACTCAGCACATATGATATTTACATACATCAAGTGAGTAGATGCATCTCCCATTTACAAGACAAAGTCTCCTAATAATAATGAATGTAAGATATTTACTGCGACATTATCTTTCCAAAGATGCATGAACCTAATAAATTAACTCTTATTGTTTATTTCCAAAATTCAAATAGTTACAATGAGATTCTTACAAAAAGCAAATAGACAACATACTCAACCATCAACAAGAGCCTCAAATCACTCTCTCCAATGTATTTTTTGAATTTGTGCATGCAGCGATTTTCTAGTGTGGACCAAATCAAAATCTCATAAAATCCAAACATTATGTTGTAATTACTATATTCAGTCTTTCAGGCCTTGAACATTGAAAGCAAAGGAGTGGGGGTGTTGTTTGGTATTAACTAGTAACTTTTAAGCAGCTTCCAATATTAAGAGAATTTGTCCTTGTTGGTAGGATTGACAGTCAGAGAATACTTTCATGTTGTAAATTTTTTTTAGAGTAGATTTGTGGCTTCATAACATCCTCTTAATTTTCCCCTTCTTGCTTTCTCTCAATCCTAAACCATGATAACCCTCTTCCTTATTTAGAACAGTCAAATTTCCCTTGCTTTAATTCCCCAACATCCTAAGTCAATTATATAAATTCGTGAATGATGCTGCTATATTTCTAGGCTTCTAGCATGCATGTACTGAAGCCAAGCCAAAAAATCCCAAATTCCTGAATCCAGTCTAGTAGCTTCACTTTGCCACCTAAAGTTACTAAAGTCTTATCACAAATCTCTGGTAAGCAGGTATCTTAAGTCTGTCCTAATATTCATTTGGTCAAGGTGGGCAGAGGAGGAATATAACTACTAAAAAGAAGCAAGCAGTAAATCATAGGCCACAAACCATATAGGCGCTAGTTATAATGAGAGATTAGGAATATGCTTTGTCCTTCAAATTCAAACCAACAGACCATTTTAATTCTTATTTGGAATATCAATATGTTATTTAGAGTAACTTTCTCTATCAAAGAAAGTAACGCATCCATCACTGATTTGCCGTCTACGCTAGAAACAGGTCTAACAAAGTTCCTTATCCAGTTAGCAGTGTCACTCCCTAACAAGAAAAAAGGTTTAGGGGAAAATGTCTTAGTCCTTTCTCCAAAATAGTAAGACTACTTCTTATCTCTATTTATAGAGAACTATTACTTCAAAAGCAGATCTTCAATCCATCAGAGATAAAGAACAAATGTCAATTTCAAGGATATAAGAAACAGGGATCCAGTTGGAAGTAAGATAACCCCCCCCCCCTGTTACTCATATAAACACTAAATATGTTGTCATTGAACGATCCAATTACTTTTTGTTAAGATGTCAGTTATCAGGTAGAAATATGGCTGGAATACTCTTTATAAGGCTTAGATAATCCTCCTCCTATGAGTTAGTTTTTAGGAGTGAGTTAGACTCAGTTTTCTAATATAGTATTAGAGTTTATCCAATCTGAATGTTGGGTCATCCATAGATTTTAAGTCTTGTAAGCTTCACATATCAAATGTCTAGTCTTGGGTGTGACAAGAATTTTAAGATGTCCCACATCTTCTAGAAATATGGTGATAACATTTGAGAGTAAGTTGAACCTAATTTTCTAATATTTCTTCTCTATTTCCTTATCATACAATAGCTCAACTGATGACTATTTGTAAAAGAACACTTGCAAATCAGACTTCACTAAGCTGTGCAAAAATCAAAAATAAATACGAGAAGTGCTAGTAAAACATTTTCTAACATACTCTTTTTAATACACTCTCATTCATTGACTAAAACTATTGAAAAATATAAAAGTATGAATGAGAATAATTATATTAGGAGAAAAAATCATTAAATTAATAATAAGACACATACTGTTTGTGATTTTTAATAAATTTTGGTCAATAAATAAGTGTTAGAAAGTGTGTATTAGAGAGTATGTTACTAACATTTCTTTATAAATATTTCACATTGTTAAATTTAGTCTTTCTATACATATACCCTTACAAAGAACTAAAGCAACCAAATTCAACCAGTGCCTGGGTCATATCAAAGCCATTCCCAACTCTTGGGATACGAACAAAGCTAGTCTGAATTTGTCCAATACCAATCCACCCATCCTATCAGAATAAATTCATCACCTCTAAGTTGTCTAGGCAGTAGTCCTTCCAATCACCCAAGCATTTAAAACTAATCATTTTTTTCTTGCACCACAGAAAGGAAGTTCCAACAAATCTCAAATTCTGATGAAAGTCTTTAGGCATTTTATTCCACCTCAGATAGTGACCAGAGACTAAGACATTAGCCATTGTAACTGGTAGCAAAGCATTGGTTTATAAATACAGAAAAACAGACAATAATTGAATCAAATCTACAAATATCCATGACAAGTAGAACATACATTACAGCATCCACCATATACATGATCCTGCATATAGGTGTTTACCAGTTGCACACAGAAGACAGCCCCCGAGAGAATACCATGCTTTAGTTGGATTCCTTGCAAAGAAATAATATATGTAAATAGGATTAAATGCCCTGAAGACACTGCTGTCATACTTGACAAGGTTGTATATACCAATCCCCGCAAGAGAACAAAACCATATAAACAAAGCAGGTCCTACGGCGAGCCCCACTTTACTTGTTCCATACTTCTGTACACTGAACAAAATGACAAGGCAAGCAACAGAAATCATCACCACTTCATCTGCATAATAAAGGAAAAAGAAGAAAGGATTAATCCAACAACAAACAAGACACTAAATTACAATACTGAGCCAATTTCAGCTATGGTCTCGACAACCTAAACTATATGAACCACATCTCATATTTATTATCAGTCGTTGTTTGGATTGAAATATACAGCATAAGCATTCTACTAACACAAGACTGAATTTGCTGAATAGTTTGACAGTTTGACCAAAGCACAGTTCAGACTTCAGACAATGTTGCATACGGAAAAAAAAAAGGCTTCAAAAGGTATTACTACTTACTAAAGGAAAAGCTACAACTTAATTTATTCCAAATAAGATAGAAGTCAAGTTCTCTGGTTGTGTCAGTGAATAACAACAAATACAGGCATTAATAACTATTAGCCTACTGCATGTGTGAGGTTATTAATAGTTTAGCACAATACCTTGCTTAATTGCATCTACCCCAACTTTCAAACCATTAACAGAGGATAGTACTGCAGGAAGAAAAAGATATAAAGTAAGGATCAATATGAAGGACTAAAAAGAAATGATTATTGGAAATAAAAATTGCCAGGTACACAAGCAACAATATGTCATTACAAGTATGATATCAGTATCAGTATCAGTCCAAACACTGTGTGACAAAAGTAATTCTGTAATACACGACACAACAGCAGTAAGTAACCTGACATTGCTGGTGTAACAACCCCATTAGCTATCACCATGGAAGTACCAGCAAGAACTAATAACAGCAGAATCTTCTTCAGAGTCACAGAAGTCTCTAGCCTTTCCTTGATTTTTAAAGACCTTTCAAGCTCGGGAGATGGAACCTTTAGCCTAAAGCCTGATATTCGGGCATCTGATGGCAACTGATTAGGAAGAAGACTCACCTTAGCATTACGACAAATCAAGGAATACAAGGCAAACGTACCACCTGCAGCAATTTTAAAACAACCATAAACTTGAGAGCAGAACATTAAAGGGGAAATGAGAACCGAAATTTTATCTTTAAAATACTCAATTCAATATACCTTCACCGTCATCATTGGCCCAAAGAACAACAAGGACATACTTCACTAATGGAATCAAGATTAAAGTGTACAAAACAAGTGACAATGCTCCAAGAATGTCTTCATTTCCATTAATAGGAGCCTTCCTAAACATAACACTGAAGGTATACAAAGGACTTGTTCCAACATCACCAAAGACAACACCAAGAGTTTGAAAAGCCAACACAATTTGTTTTCCCATGCTAATATCCTGCAACATAGATAAACATAACCAACCACACAATAAGAGAAACACACATCATCACTAATTCCAGAGAATCTATGCGATCACCAACCTCATAGTCATTTCTCTGAGCACCAGGCACTTCAAGAGCTTCGACATCGAAGGAATCGATTCGTGGGCCAGTGCGAACGAGTTTCTGCTCAGCATTATCCTCGTCCTCAGAATCGAACATAGGCTGCTGCCGCAAATCAGCAGCGTCGAAGTCTTCAATCTCGGAGGGATCCTCATCCTCCTGGAAAACCCACCTCGATTCGCTGGACATTGCGCTCCCAGGATCGCCATCTTCACCCATCGAATGCGGTGTTTTAATTTTAGGGTTTCGCATCGAAAAATTGATGAGAAGAAGAAGAAGGTGTAGATTATGATGGATGATTGGTGTCAGAAAAAATAAAATGCAGTGTTAAAGGACTTAATCGTAACTGCAAAACGTTCTTGTGGGTAGTGAATTCAACAACTGCATGGTAAGCTAAGCTAGTCCTCACCTACACCAGTTTCAGTTTTTGTGGTAATTGACCACCATGATTTTTTTCGTGCTCATGAATCAAATCTACTCTTACCAGTCTTTTTCAAATGCTCAAATGGGAAAAAGAGAAGAAAAGAAAAGAAAATAAAGGTACCACTATTTTTACTTTTCGTGAATATACAAAGTGGCCTTTCCCGTTCTTCTCTTTTATGGTAAACTGATTAACTAATAAAATATAATAAGATAATTAGGATTTCCTACTAAATTCTGTACTCTGCTAAATTATAATTAAATATTATTACATTCAATTTAAAATTAATAAATGATTTACATGTTTGAGTATAAGATGATAATTACTTGTTATATTATATTGGCACGTAATAATTTATTTACAATATAGTCTTCAATAATAAAATAAGTCATAAACCACCAATAATTAAAAGATAAATTTATTATTAAACAATACAAACCTATATTATATAAAATTAAGTAAAATATTCAATATAAAAATTTACAGAAAAAATTAATAATATTTTATATTATTTTGTTATATTATTTTATGTATAAATAATAGATTGATAAAAATAATATTAATAAATATTGTATTGTTTATATAAATATTTTAATTTACTTTAAAAAAATTATAACACTATTTGATAATTATATAATAATTAAATACTATATATAAAATAAGTTGATATCATTATATTACAATATATTTAAAAAAATATATAATTTTAACTTTTTAATAAATTTTAAAATTATTTATTTAATCAAAACAAAATTTATGTCACGCCAAAAAAATTACAAACTTTTAATATAAAACAATAGATGATAAATTTAGCTTAACACTTTAAGAATAATCTAAAACAATTAAATAAGTGCATTAAGGTTTTTTCCTTTTTCCTTTTGCCTTTTTCCTTTTTCTTTTTTAAGATTTATAGGATAGATGAAAATGTACAAATGTGATTGTAGAAGATGCACATATCATTTTGTTGTTTTGAACGTGGAAAAAAAATCATCTAAATCAAAAGACTACTAGCTTCAAAAGAATGAACAAATAACAGCTTTTTTCCAATATTAAACTTGCATGTCTTTAATTAAAATTTTAATTCAATACTAAATTGAGGAGAGTTTGATAAATATATGAAATAAATTGTAATTAATTTTTCTCTATTACCTTGCAAATAATTTAAACATCATGGCACATTCTTTCAAACTCGTAAGCCACATATACTTTGTATTCTTTCATGTAAGGTTTAACTTTATATTCTTTTAAACGACTTTATTCAGTGATTACAAAAATAAATAAACATATTTTTATTACACAGTTTGAGTAAAAAAAATTACATTATTAAAATTATTCACACGACTTTACTAAAAGTTATCAAAATAAGTTGAGTTGAACTTGCTTATATGATATAAAAGTTTAAAATACTTAACGAATTTTTGAATATTTAAAAAATAATGTTTAAAGATGAGGATCATGGTTTACACCCAAAGGGTATATAAACTTGTGTGTAAACCATGAAATGTTACTTATATTTTATTTTTGAAGTTTTGTATAAAAATAGAAAAATAAAATATAATCGCTTTTTTATTATTTAATGTTTAAATATTTAAAAATATATAAAAAAGATTAATATAACATCAAATAGGATAAAGTCCCATTTATGATTAGACCTAATTTTAAAATATTATTTTTTTAATTAATTAAAATAACGTACTAAATCATAATTATTTTACTTGAAAGTTATTTTTAGATTTTTTTAATTATAAAATATCCTTTTTAAGTATAATATAATTAAATTTATTAGATATTTTTAATTGATAATAAAGTCAGTTTAATTAATATTCATTGACACTATTGATGTTAAGCAATATTTGTTAATTTTAAGTTAAAAATTTATTCACGCTAAAATAACATACAACTATTAACATTATTTCGTAAGCATGGTATGTGTAATAGATAGTTAATATTCACGCCAAGTCGCCAACATACATGTTGATAAATTTATAGTATTGAATAATAAAAATGTGTATTTTAATTAAAAATAATAAAAAATAAAATAAGAAAATAGACAAAATAATTATTAATTAAAAATATATCATAATAAATTTATTTTAATAAAAATTATTCTTATATTATTTACATATTAATTAATAATATTTAATTTTAAATAACAAATATGAATAATTAAACTTTTTATATATAAAAAATAGAGACCTCAAAAATATGCTATAGTGTTTTTATATTTGGGCTAGCTCATATGATATTTTTGTAATAATATGTAAAAATAAAAAAAGAAAATCCTCACAAAAAGCACAAATAAATGATCATATCTATCTATTCGTATCTTCTATATATTTATATATAAAATTGACTACACCTACTTATTACTCTATATATTAAATTTTGTAACGTGTAAAATTATTTTATATATGTGACTATATCTACTTATTACTTTGTGTATTAAAATTAGAAACTTATAAAGTTTTATAACGTGTAAAGTCATTTTTATATATGTGACTATATCTACTTATTACTTTGTGCATTAAAATTCGAAACTTATAAAGTCATTCCTATTGACTATACTTAATTATTACTCTATGAATTAAAATTTAAAATATATAATTTATGAATTAAAAATATATTTTATTTGTACTTATTATTTTTGAATTGTATTTAAAGAATATATATGATTATATTATGTTATAAACGGTAACATAAATATTCATACTATAAATTGTCTTAAATTACTGTTTATTAAAATTAATTATAATATTTTTTATAGTTGACGAATTAAAATTATATTTGATTCATATTCAATATATCCTTAAATTGTACTTAAGAAAAATTTATTAGAATTCATGATTATATTATATTAAATACAACAATAACAATATTGTTATGAATGACATTTAATAAACAATTATTAAATTTTTAAAATATAAAAAATTTTAAAAATTTTATTGTCAAATAAAATTGTATCTAATGAACAAAAATAACAAAATAGTAAAAAAATATCTACAAATTTCTTAAGTTACATTTTCAATGAAAATAAAATTATATCTTTACTTTAAGTTATATTTAAATTTGAGTGATATTAATTTAAATTATTATATTAATTATATTAATATAATCTATATTTTAATATATACTTCAAACACTAAAATGTACTTTGAATTAAAAAAATTATACTTACAAAATTATTAGTTTATATTATATATTATTAAACTAAAATTTTAATAAAAAAATAAGCTTACATATTTAAATTATTTTATTAATTAGTTTAATATAATCTATATTTCAATGTGTACTTCAAATACTAAAATATATTTTGAATTAAAAAAATTATATTTATAAAAATATTAGTTTATATTATATATTGTTAAGTTAAATTTTTAATGAAAAGATAAGTTTATATATTTAAAATATTTTACTAATTAGTTTAGTATAATTGATAGTTTAATATGTATTTCAAACTCTAAAATTTACTTTAAATTAAAAAATTATACTTACAAAATTATTAGTTTATTTTATGTATTATTAAATTAAATTTTAAATAAAAGACAACTTTACAAATAAAAATACTATATATAAAATAAAATTAAGATTATATTAAATTAAAAATTATTAAAATAGATTATAATATTTTGCATGAAGAAAAAAATTAAATAGAAAAAAATATATCTATAATTGATTCATACTTATTATCTTTAAATTGTATTTAAAGAAAATTTATTAGAATTGATAGATATAATGTTAAAAAATGACAGTAACAAAATTATTGCAAATGATATTTAATAAAAAATTATTAAAATTTATTATAAATAAAATTATTTTAAAAAATTTTCTGTCAAATGTTAAAAATAGAAAAAAGAATATTAATTAAATTGTACAAAAATATTTTTAAAAAATTTAATGAAGTTCTCGAGTTACCTTTTAATTAAAAATAAAAATGTATCTTTGTTTTAAATTCTATTCAACATTTGAACATTAATTATTGTTTTATATTATATATTATTAAATTAAATTTTTAATAAAAATACAAGTAAACTATAATATAGATAAAAAGATAATTTTTATTATATTAATTTTTTATTTGTTGACTTTTTATATATCTCTAAATATGATTTTATCTCTACTCATATAAGTCATATTTACACAATTTTTAAAAATTTGCTCATCATTCTTTCTATTGTCTTTATTTTTCTTTGTATTTTGTAATTATGTCAACTGCCAAGAATTACTTATCCACGTAAGTATATGTGTTTTTTAAGTTGATATTTTTTATTTTATTTCACTGAATTGTGTTATATATTACAATATATGAGGTATAAACAACTATTTTAAAGTTACTATTAATTGAAAAATATTATAACTTTAGTTAAATCATTTATAGGAGAAATAGAGTAAAATTATCAATAATTATATTACATTATTTGAAGAAATAATAAAAGATAATGTGTCTAAGGATTCAAAAATTAATGTTGCAATATTCACATCCACTGTTGTGAATGAATTTCAAGATAATTATATTATTATATTTTCAAAATATTTTATTTAAATAAATTATATATATAAATATGCTTCATATTTAATTATAAAATATATGTGTGTATGTATTATAGGTAATATTTCTATTTCCACATTAAAATCAACAAATATTTATGTTAATATTGACATATCAGAATTTACTCATTTTATAAATTCATTCAGGTATTAAAATTATTTAAAATCTGTTTGTTATGTTAATTATTGTTAATTCTTCACATTCTATCTTAACCATATTTTCAATTATTCATTATCACTTTATTGTAGGAATTTCAATGATATGCATATTGCTCACAATATTGATAATACAAGACCTACTATTCTTCCTAAGTTAGAAAATTTCAAAAACATATCTAAAATTTTGACAATGGCAAAATCAAAGAATGATATAGTAAATTTAATTTTTTTATGGTCTATTCTTCTTATTTAATTTTTAAAATTTTTAAATAATTTTCAGAATGATATAATTAGTTGTATTGCAATTGTCAATGATATATTGCTTTAAAATGGTTAGTATTATATTTTTTGCCCCATTGCAAGAAGGAAGTTTCTTTTACAACTATAAATTTTAATTGTGAATCATGTTATAAAGATGTTGAATACCCAACGACAAAGTAATTAATTTATTGATATAGTTA